ACAGGAAAATCCAGAGCAGTTTTTGACAACTTCTAAAAAAAGCCCCAGAAGAGGGAAACTAGCATTCCTCTGGACATTTAGTTTATTTTTATTCTTGTGTTTTAATGAAGGATAACAGATGTACATAACAAATGAATTGATTTATTATTCATAGGAATTTACTAACAAGTTGAATTGATTGAAATGTCTTCAAGGATATTTCTTGTTCCTTAATCCGTAGAGTCCTTTTGAACAGCTTCGACAGCAGATGGAGGATGTTTTGGGAGACGGAGGGATCCTTAAAGAAGTGATCCAGCCTGGAGATGGCCCACCAGTTCCCCGCAATGCTTCAGTATTGAGTACGTTTAAATGCATTTTTTTGCTCTTAAAACCCCTGCTGCAGTAATTATTTGTGCAGTTTTTTGTTCTGCCATAACTTCTCCTTATTTTCTTCGTCCCACAGTCCATTACTCTGGTTTTCTGGAGTATTCCGACCATCCTTTTGAAACTACCACGAACCTGAAGTACCCCCAGATGATGAAGTTAGGGAGAGGTCTGTGATTCAATCTTGACTTGCCCGTTGCCCTTTTAAAAAATGTTGCCTCTATATATCTGTTCACCTGTAATGATTGTTCAAACAGATGTGACACTGGCAGGCCTGGAGCTGGGTCTGTTGACCATGAAGAAAGGGGAGTTCTCTCGTTTCCTCTTCCAGCCTCAGTATGCATACGGGGACATGGGCTGTCCCCCCTTCATTCCCACCGCTGCCACAGTCCTGTATGAGGTTCACATCCTCGATTTCCTCGACTCAGGACAAGTGGACGACTTCATTTCAATGAGTCCAGTATGTGCACTGTTGTTATTTAGTACTACTACAGGAGTACTTTAATACTCCAGAAGCCACAACCAATACATTATATTCATTTTCTAGCCTTATTGACATGCATTCAGGAACACTTTTGACAGCATCAAGATACCAGTCCTGAAATATTTAGAATAAAAAAGTATTATGGAAATATAAAAAATATAACAAAAACAAAATTGAGACATATAACATAAATGTGTACTTTTAACTGTGTGTTTGTTATGATTTTGTTTTATGCCATTGTTTTGTTCTTTTGTTAATGTTAAGTCCTGTTTCTCCTCTTTCTTTAGGAGGAGCAGAACACGGTGCCTCTGTCCACTCTTCTTGAAGTTGTCAACACTGTCCGCAGTTTTGGCAACCGTTACTTCAACATGAGACGCTACGACAATGCCAAAGATCGCTATAAACAGGTAAACAGTCAGTAAAATAAAATAAAATTGAATGGTTTACATTTTTTTTACATCAGTTTACTAGCTGATAAGACGAGTCATTTCTGTGAATAAGTGTACAGGTAAAGGTGAAGATGTGTTTTTACCAGATTTTGTGTTTTGGCAAACAGGGAATGATGCTGCTGGGGAACAGGGACGCACAGAGCGATGCAGAGACGGAGAGGATAGATAAAGCTCTGCTTCTTTTCTATCTGAACCTTTCTCTCACTGAGCTTCGCTTGGACAGACCCCACAAAGCCCTGAAATACGGCAACAAAGCCCTGGAGATAGACTCCAACAACACAAAGGCTCTTTTCCGATGTGGACAGGTCAGAATTTGCTCATGTGTTCCCAAACTGTCAGAAAAAGCCCTACAGAACGATTAAGTGCATGATTCAAAAGGCACTTTAAAGTATTTTCATTAGCTCACTATAGAGAGATGATGCCAGAAACAAAGGGTGATAGAGATAACAGCACAGTTTGAGCCAGATGTGAAGGTTTGACACTTCTTCTAGCTTGAGTTCACTGAACATAAGGAGTGCTTAAGAAGTACATTTTGGTTCAGCATTTAGCTACAGTATACTTCTTTAACTTTATACACCCTGTAAGCCACTAGGGGGTCTGTAGTCAGCTTTTCCTTCCCCTCCCGGGTTAAATATGTTTGTAATTGTTCACACTCAAGAGAACAATTAGTCCATTATTTGAAATGATGCAATCTCCATCCCGTCAGGCGTATCTGGAGCTGCATGAGTACGACAGCGCTCAGGATTGCCTCATTACTGCCCAAGCAAAGAAACCCTTTGACAGTGATATCAACAACCTGCTGAGGAAAGTGGCAACGTAAGAACAACTTTTGTTTCACACATTTAAGAAGTTTAAAATGAATCAAGACAGTTTACTGCAGTCTGGGCAACTTAATCTGTGTTCTTACTTTGTTTCAGTGTAACTCAGCAGAGCTACCACAGGACACAATCACTCAATGTGTTTTTCATGTTTCAGGTGCTACAAAGAAAGCTTGGACAAACAAAAGGACTTGTACTCTAAGATGTTCAGACACTTGAGGAGTAAGTGAAGCTGCAAATATGAGTAAAAAGGTAAGAACTAGCCTGCTCACCACCTTTCCCCCTCCTTTAATATCTGATCATTTCTACATCTGTCTGAGGTGTACCCATCCAGTTTACTAATATGTTACTGTCATTGTCATGTTTTACATCTAAGCTTTTCAGACAGACTGATCTTATTCATACAATGTTTGTGTGTTGCAGATAAAGGAGAAAAGAGCATGTTTCTCTCAATGTTAGTCCTTTGGCGTTTTTGCAATGTGATGAGAGGAATAATGTTAAAAAAGAAAAAGAGTTCTTTAAAATTGGTTAGAGGTTTTTGGTATGAATGACACTCGGCAGTTGTGTTTTTGTTTGGAGATGCTTTGCAGATTTGCATTAACAGTGTTGGATATTGACACAGGGTCACATCACTTCTTTGGTAATGAAAATAAAAAAAAGATGGTACACTTTCAATATATTTTGTCTTTGTTGTTGATGATTTAGATTTGATGAGTTCTCATCAGGGTTAAGCTTCAAGGTCAAATGTGCCATGTTGAGCTGGCTATTTTTAAACGTTATATTAACATGATAATTAAGTAGATGATCCGATTTGTGTTTATGCATATTTTTTTCTGTGTTGATTCAGAGTGAAATAAATGACCTTCTGCTTCACACTGAACAAACACCAGGTGGCGGGCTTGTACAATCTCAGCCTCTAGAACAGCAAAATGCTCTTTAAGAAAGTGTCATTTAAATTTACCTAAAAGTTTAAACATTTAAGTCAAGTGTTCAAAAGCAGAAAAGGCTCCAAATACAGCTTTAACATAGATTTGACTGTTGACAATACAACAATAATAAAACCTAGATAGTTGGAAGTCTAGAGGCTTAGCGGTAACATCACATGCACCATAAATTGCTCATATATTGTAAGTGGAGCCGAATTTAAGCTAAATGCAGCAGCAGGCGGGACAAACAGTGATGAGTAGTAACTGGACAGACAGAGGTATTGGGAGGAGGGGGGGGGGGGGTAAGATGATGGAGGATCAAAGGTGGGGAGGGGCAGATGGAAGAGCAGCAGAATCTGATTGACCTCTTTGGCTAATCCACTTTTCACAGTGTGTGAGTGTTATAGCATCATCTCCCAGCAGCACATGGCCAGCAGGTCGTGCTCTGTTAAAGACCGCTTAGCTGGACGAAGGCAAACACAGACACAATGGTCTCCAGACTCGTCTACTACCTTCATCTCAGGTGAGGAAACGAGAGAGTAAGGCGACAATCTGTGTGCTCTAATACTGATCCCTTCATAACCCCGCTCATTTCTGTGCGTATGGCGGCTCTGCTTACGTACCTATGTTGCTGTTTGTGTGTTTGTGTGTTTTAACGTTGGCATCCGTTCAGCATTCAAGTAGCAGAACTTTTGGAGCATTTTTGACATCTTTGTCAGAAACACCTGAATGTTTGTTAATTAAAATGTGTCAATTTCATGTAATGCTGATTCATATATCAAGTTTTAGAAATATTGTAAATGATGGTTTTTGGGTCAAGGTATGATATTCCTTAAAGGGCTGATGTTCAAACTATCCAGAGCTGTGGTTCAATAAAAGGAGTTCAATCAAGCGCTAAATATCTTCAGGTGTGTACACATTGAAATTGATGTTGTTGAGGCAAAAAAATGTACAGGTTTGAAGGTTTCCTTTTTGTACTTTTAAGGCAATTATTTTTATTAAATGCGCATCATACCTGCAAGATACACTCAAATTACATGATCCCTGGATGTATGTTTAGGCCTAAAGCAAATAAAGTAGTTGTGGCAAGATCCACATTGACCATCTTTTAAAAGAACATAATGCACAACAATGCCAGTGTAAGACTTAAAAACAAAGACTTTTTCATTTGAAGGGGACTTCCATTTTATTTCTAATGCAGCGAGGACTAATGTCATTTCTTTGATATTGTTGTCTTAAAGATGTATTTCTTAGAAAGGCACATGCTGTTCTTTGGATTAAAATAAAACATGGTTTAGAGTCAGTATCAAATGAACTAAATTGGGAGAACAACAGTAGTTTGATATTTTAACATCAGTTTACAGTACATACATTTTTCATCCACATACAGCCTAAAGTATTTGGCCTTCAGATCTCAGATTGTTCCTGTTGAGGCTTATGCTTGTGTTTTTTTTTTTTTTTGTCTTCAGTCTGACCTTCACTTATTGTTGTCTAATGTAGTCAATGATCATTTGGATTGACCTGGCCGAGCAGTCACGAAGATTACTTTGTCTCCTTGAGTGTTTTGGCTGTGTGTTTGTGGTGACTGTCCAAAATGTTCCTTATCTCATCAACTATAGGCACCTTAGAGCAGCTATCCTTAAGTCCATAGTTAAATGTAAAATATGTCACAGATAAAAACATGTACTACATTCAATGAAGTGTAGGATTTAAATTTAAAGAGATATAAGCTATTGTGTTAAAGTTACTAGTAAAATAAGATACATTTTTGAAATATCCTCCAAAAAACCAATATGAATGTTTTTTATAGCCTCCATTGTAATGATGCACCAAGGAGTGTTCAGTACCCATTTCAAGCAGAAGGGGGCGCTACTATCTATGAAACTTTGCCCTGTGTTTCAGCCAATCCCCGTGCTGTTTTGTGTATGTGGTCCAGCCCCTGTCCGGCTGCAGTACTTCAGATAAACACTCACACACAAGTTGTAGAGAAAGACGACAAGAACAGAGAGTCGGAGGGAGAGAAAGGAGGAGGAGGAGAGTTTGTCAGAATGAGTCGGCAACATAATGGCTGTTATGGCGATGGAAAGCACAGATAGGGTAAATAGGTGAATATCGTGGTGGTTGAAAGTCAGCTGTGTGTGGAGCAAAGAAGGAAGAAATAAGAACCGGAGCAGAAACATGAGTCGGCAGCAGGAGTCACAGGGAGTGGTTTTAACGGGTTACCACAGCAACGCCGAACTACTGCCGAAAACTGGACCGTGTGCCTCGAGCTGTCCGTCAGCCCAGGACCACGAGCCCAACTCGCACAGGTGGGACATATCAGTGTTATCACTTTAAATGAGGGCAGCAACAACAACAACAACCACTGCTAAAGGTTTCTGCTGAGTGTGTGTGAGCAAAGGTCACTGTGTTATTCCTCATTGTATAAACGTGAGGAGTGTGGAGCTCATGAACAGAATATTATAGCTGAATGAAACCTAACTAGCCTACTTGTGTTATCCGCATGTTCCAAGAGATACAGCCCAGTACCCGTCAGTGAGTCTACTTCAAAGTAGAACCTGGTTAATTGCATCCAGGCTGGTTCCTTTTTTTTTTTTTTTTTTAGCTCAGTGGAAAAGACGAGCTCTGTCCTTGGCCTTGGGTTGTTTTTTCCTTTATGCACATTCCTCATCGGCAGGTTCACCATGACTTTGTTACACTGGCCCAGATTTTACAACATTGTAAACATTGTTGCATATCTAACACTTAAATCAATCAAGCTCTAACGTAAATATTAAATATACCAAAACATGACGCTGAAACACTTGTCAAAGTTAGATAGACAGCTATAGTCCTTTTACTTGCACAATTAATATAATATATTCAAACACATTAACACCTTTTTTTTGGGAGGATTGATCAGTCGTCAAGACTTGTTTTAAAGGGGACATATTATATACTTTTACAGTGTTTTTGAACATATATTTGGGTAACCTGAGTGTCTACCGACCTACAAAATGTGAAATAAACCCATCTGGTCTGCAAAAGTCTTACAACACCGAGAAAAGGGCTGTTTCAATTTTGCTCAACTTGCGATGTTACAAGTTGGATTCTGGTTTAAAAAAAAAAAAATCTGCTTTTCATTATAACTGTCTCAATGTAGGAAAGTTATTCTTTAGCCTATGACATGTAAAAAGACTATTAAAGGCCTGTGAATGTTCTCACAGCCAATAAGAAGCGTAATATAAAGTGTAATATGTTGTCACTAACAATCCAAAAGTTAAAGATTTTGACATGCAAAAAAACATGAATTTATTTAGTCTGTTTTGCTTTATTAACACGGTGATACATTTCTGTATGCCTGTCATGAACGTGTTAAGTGTGGGCACAAATGAAAGGAAACAGCAAAAGAAGGCATTTTAATATGTTTTTATAACTTTATGATGCTGGGCCACTTCAGGTCTAAAGGACAGCACACAATCTTCGCGTTACATCTTAACCTTCCCTATAGCTTCTTGCAGCCTTGGGGAAACTACAGATTTTGAGTCACTGTCACAGGGGAAATGCTGAACATGAACTGTGCTCAAATACACAGTCACAGTCTTTTATTTATAACACATCACATTTTAGAGTTCCTCCACGCCGAGCTGTCTGTGTATCCAGTTCATGTTTAGATCTGCAAACTACTGCTGTCAACAACCACGGTGTGCTGAAAGTAAATAACCTCGGGCTGCTGGCATTTAGATGGACACACCTGCCTGTGTGTGTTCCAGATGGCTCGTCCAGTTAGCTGGAGAAAAACAGCATCACATTACAGCCTGCCTTTGTCTCACCTCCTGCAGCAGAGTGTGTATGTCCTGTCTGAGCTGACGTTAAGGCTTCGTTTTATGCTCATTGTTTCCCCTGGTCAGGAAATGAGAGACAGGGAGACACAGACAGACATACAAAGAGACAGACAGGAAGCTGCTGGACTTTTTCCAGCAGTGGTCATCCAAGCTGAGGAGCCTTACGATTAGGGTTACATGTCCGCTGGGAGCTGTGCACATAGATACCTTTTTTTTAATTTTGTGTTTAGATGCTAGGAGTAGAAGTTTGAGCATTTCTGTGGTGTGACTGGGCAACGAAGTAGTCATTGGACACATGTGGTTTGGATTAATTCTCTCTGTGATGCAACTAAGATGCAGCAGAAATACAGTGCCTCACAGGAAATGACATCTGCAGAAAGGAAGACAAGCTGTGAAAGGTAACAAGATGTCAGACTGGCAGCAAAAGAAGTTAACTCTGTGTGAGTGCGACTCAGATTAGATTATTCTTCATTATCGTGACATTTATCAGACAGGCTTGGGGGGGAAAAAAAAAGAGACCTAACCCGGAGGTGACGATGTAGAAGATGGACAAACAATTTAAGACAGCAGATATATGGTCCCAGTCAGAGACGGAGTGGCAGACAAACAAGCTCTCATTTCGCTTTAGCAATAAAATATGGAGAAACAAGAACATATAGTGTAGGTCAATCAATGGTAAAGAGGTGTGATTTATGAGCCACTGTGTCATTGCTCAGACCAGTAACCGTGTGTGAGGAAGAAGAACACAGTCAACCTCTGTTTTCCTCACAGGGCAGCTGGCACCTGTTGATGTGAATGGGAATACCACTCGCACAATTGTTACCCTCCTTCCCCCTCTTGTGCTGGTTGCAAAACATCCTCCGCTCTCCATTGATAAACTGCATCCATCTCTAGGGGATGAAGTACTCACATCCTTTAAAAAGTTATGTCACACTTAGGAAGTGCATTTTTTTTTCTTGCCTGGTGTTGGAGATTGGTACAATAGATTGATACAGTCTCGTGTTTTTAAACTAAATACAGAAATAAGAACACAAGCATATCTTTAATGACTTTTAAAAAACAGATTTGGCTTAATATCTTTTCCAGACTTTGTGCTTAGCTAGGCCAGGCTAGCTTGGCTGTCACTTCATATTTACTGCACAGATTCCAGAGAGGTGTCAATCTTTAATGTGACACTCGACAAGAAAACAGAAGTGTATCACACAAACTTCTCAAGAATTTAAGAAGTAGTAAGTGACATCTTCATATTGATGTTTTAGTCAACAGCTCAAAACCGAATGATATTTGATATACACAACGACAAAATGTAGTGAATTGTTCTTGTTAAGAAGCTAATAATTGACAATTTCTGATTGAAATGAAACTCAATTTGGAGAGCAAAAAATTTGGTGCTTCATTTTCTGTTGATCAACTGAAAAATATTAATTGTTGCAGCTCCAATGGAGTGATATCTCCCTCCATAAAAAAAAAAAGACCTTTATGTCAAGAGTGACATAAAATAGAAATGCTCTTGTTAACTCCCAATTACTTCATATTTCTGTCTGTTGAAAACTATTCTTCACTTGCCATCTCTCCAATATAACATCTGTCATAGTTTATATAAATCATGCAGAGGTTAATGCTGCTCTTAGTTTGGAGCTGAACATTTCAAACCACTCAGGTCTCCTATCTTTAAAGTCTCGAGTTGAGTTAACTTCCTGAAGTGTTAACTCATCAGTGAACTCATCAGCGCTGAAGTTGCTCTTTGCTGTTTCCTTCTATTCCTGTTTGCACCTCTCAGTGTGGATTTACTTCTGTAAGCTTTTTTCTGTCCACACACACACACACACGACCACACACACACACCTTTTTTCGTCGACAGCTCTGTGCAGGTGATGAAAAGGTGTGTGGATAACCATACAAAGAGTACAATGATAACACACACGGCTGGAGCACTCTTTTCCTTTAAAGGTCGGGCCACAGATGTATGAATGTGTGAAAATGTGTTTGTTTTACTCACAAAGGCAGCTCACCTGACATCAATGAATGTGTGTGTAAGAGAGCAAAGCCATGTGTGCTATTGTTTGTGCAACTTTAAACAAGTTGTTTGCATTTTTAGGGGTGTTTTTTTGCCTTCACACATATTATGAACTGGGATAGCCCCACTTCAAATGACAGGCAAAAGTTTATCTTTATTTTTAAATAAAAACCTCAGTATCATGGCTTATTCTCTAAGAGGAGCATTCCTGCCATCTCGAGTGTTCACCTGTGGAAGCTGTAAAGTTTAATTTTTAACATGTTGTTAATATGTTACCTGAACTACAGGATCATTTAATTGTGATTGAAATATGAGCATTTGCAATAAACACAGTGCAAATGTCATCGCAATAAATCAAACAAACACATAAAGAAAGCAATGCTTTCTCTCTCATCATGCATACTTTTTTATATATTGGGGAGAGGTTTAGGTATAATGGCCATGCCATGCTTTCACACTCTTTTTGAAACGGGTAAATGAATCCAAGCTAGCCATCAACTACCCTCTAATGAACTGATGCCAATATAGTTTTCATCCCTAGACCTGAGCAGAACAGACAACACAGAAAAGGTAGCAGCTCTGGAAACGAGTGTTCAGACACAGTAGTGCTGTGAGGTAAAGCCAGTAGGCCTTAACATTCCTGCAATGGAAATGCTAATATGCTGCAGTTGCAATGCTCACTATGTTCACCATTTGTAGTTCAGCATTTTTGCATGCTTGTATTTGTGAAGTACTGGAAAAAAAGGCCAATATATTTGTCCTCTGGAGATGAGGAATGTCTTCAAAAAAACTCCCCAGCAATCTATCAAGTAACTGTTTAGATATTTGAGTTTGGACCAAAGTGATGGAGCTTCACTAGCATGGCTAAACATATGACTAAAGTAACGTTAGTGTGAAACCCTCAGCTACAAGTATCATATTAGGAACCGAAGCCAGTATGTACAGATGGTTACATTGTTGAATGTATAAACCGGAGTTTAACAACTGTGAAAAACTAATATGAGTGTTGTAAATATGTTTGTGTGTTTGCTAATGTCTGATCTCTGGTCTTGTTGTTGTGCATGAAGGTCAATGATTAACTCCTCCTCTGAGTCCATGTGTGCTCCCAAGATAAACAAATCATCCCAACAGCTTGTGAAAACAAGAACATTTCTGCCATACCTTATGAATGAAAACATTTTGGTAAAGTAATGAAGAAGACCAACCTGCTGAGTGTGCTGTGATCTACAGTAAACAAAGAGGACTAGGACTGCATGTATTGGCTTGTGTTATCATTCAGTGTTTGGACTCAATCTTACGGAGAGGAGGAGAGAAATTTCAGACAAGTAGGAGGAATGCATGGGAAAAACATGAGGTAGAGTTAAAATGCAGAGGTGAGACACAAAGTCCCAAGTGGGCAGGAAGTAAAGGCACAAACCATGTAGTGTATGAGGAGAGGAAATAGGGGACAAGAGGAGGAGGATGAGAGAAAAGAGATTGTTTGTTGACAGGAAGAAGAGGAGGAAGTAAGATGTTAGTGAAATACCTGCTGTTCTTTGTTGAAACCTGATCAATGCTTTGTGCCTTTCCTTGTTGCTGTTTTTAAAACACTGTGTTAGTGTATACAAAGTGTGTGTGTGTGTGTGTGTGTGTGTCAGGAAGTCTGCTGTGGTATGTGGCCTTAGCTCAGCAGGATCCCTCAGGTTAATACTCTGATGTTAATTCCAAATTAATTAAATCAGCACACTTACTCCATGCTGTTCAGTCTGACTGCACAGTTGGCTAAACCGTTACCTAAAATTTGTCTCGTTATGTTTGGGATTATTTACTTCAAGTTATTTATATTGACACTTTGCCTCACAGTAACCCTTCATGTTATCTTATTTCCCTTTCATAAATCTTCCCTGCTTTCACATGTCTTGACTTGAACCTTGTTTTGCCCTCACAGTAACTGTTCACACAGCCTGTTTCCACTGTTACTGTGGTAAAGTTATCAACAGTCGGACCCACAAATATACAACTCTGTCGTTTTCTTACCCCACAGTGTGTTTGTATGAGTGAGAGCAGACTGATGATTGGAACAAGAGGCAGAAACGACAGTCGGATATGTTTTATATCCCAGTCATGATAACTCCACAGCTTGTACTGGGGGATAAACTGAGAGAGAATGTGCTGAGTTGGATGTTGCCACTTCCTGTCTCAACAAAGGCAACATTGAGTCAGATATTGTCCAAGCTAAAGAAAGGGAGCCTTGTTTTAAAAGACATGTAAATGTTAATGTTGAGATTTATCAGCAGCTATTTATTGATCACAATTACCAATATCTGTTACAACCATACGAAATACCCTGGGGGTTATATATTATCAATGAGATGATGCAGAATCATGTCATAATCGAGCTGAAAGACCACGCTCCTGAACAATGACTGGAAAATAAAACATTAACAATCATAAGACAAGAAGGAGAAGATAAAATAAGCCTTTTCTGCCTGTTTTTGGAGAGCTTTTGCCATGTCCTTTTGATGAGTGTGCATATTTGTGGAGTTAATGTAATTTTTATTTAAATAGATTTTTTATACAGCAAATACTGGAAGGCGTGGCATTTGTGTCACACTTAAATACAGCTTGTAAGGCCATTCATCCTATATCTTAAAAGAACACAGAACAAACAAATAGGCATGTTGTGTTAAGTGATCATAACTGAAAAAAACAAAAAGATATTCAATCACCTGTCAGAATCAGTTGTTCAACTGACTCTACTTCTTGTTTAATAGGATGTTTGTTTTTCTTTTTACATTTATGATAGATTGTACCTTTAAGTTAGCATTTTCTTAGACAACATGTTCTTATTTTTTCCCTTTAAAGGGGACACATTATGAAAAATCTTCTTTTACAGGGTTTTTGAAGATATATGTGGGTAACCTGAGTGTCTACTGACCCACAAATTGTGAAATAAACCCATCCAGTCCTTTGTTTGTGGTCAGCATAAGTCTTACAACACAGAAAAAAATGCCCCGTTTCAAATTTGGTCAGCTTGTGATGTCACAAGCTGGATTCTGGTTAAAAAAAAAATCCCCTCCCCTCCCCTGATATCTCCACCCATGGACTCCACCCCCAGCCTAGAGCACAACCTTTACACAGGTCTGCTATTTTTATTCTCTCTACAGAGGAGTGATTTCTACTGGGAAAGCTCAGGGGGGCTCATTGAATTTAAAGAGACACACACACCAAAACGGAGTGTTCTGAGAGAGCTGGTTAATACAGGGTCACAAACCTCTGGTGCTCGATTCATGTTATAATTTGACCAAAGCACAGCACAGATGTTTCATTTAGACCACGGGACTATTTGAAAAGGTAGAAAAGGGGTATAATATGTCCTCTTTAAATCTCAGGAGAGAATCCCGGTTGTTAACATCCAAGTTTCAGTTCTTTAACACACGTCATAGTTGCACATACTGTAACATAATTTGTGGTTGCAATAGGAGTCACTGTGTGCCTGTTTATGAAATAAATATGACTTTACAACCATATAATGATTAAAACCTGTATGAGGTCATCCTTACTATAAGACGCCCTCAGTCTTAACTAGGCTAGGTCAAACAGCATCAATAAAACTTCATGCTGAGATGAGCTAGCTAACAGAAGTCCAGGCTGAGTGAGGGAAGCTATTCTTAGTCTCGCTGGAAATTCAACACACTACTGTCTCTCCCTTACTGACCGACTTCTGTCCATCTGACTCACTGTCAGCCAAGAGTCACGAGCTATCTGTGTCTTCTGTTGTGCCATAAAGTCAACACTTTAACTCACCTTTTATACAGAACAACAACACACACTGATCACAGGTGATCAGAAGAACCCAAGTGTTAAATTACAGAATAAGTTTATAGATGACTGAGAGAGAGAATCACTCAAAACTTGTGAGCAGCGCTTGCAAATAAAGGATGTCGGACGTGTTTTAGGAATCCTGGAAACCTTTCACAGGATTTTACATCTTTTCTTTTTTGTCATCAAATTTTTGTTTTTATTTTTGGGGGTTGCTGGTGGCCTAGCGGTAAGGTTGCGCCCCATGTACCGAAACTATAGCCCTCTAAGCAGGCGGCCCGGGTTCAAGTCTGACCTGCGGCTCTATGCATGCAAGTAATTTCTCTCTCTCTCTCTCTCAGATTTCCTACGCTATCCAATGTCCTCTTAATATATCTTTAAAAGAAGAGATGTAGATTTGGTTACAAATTCTCTTTTAGTAAAGTAGAAAAAAAGATAATACTAATTTAGATGATGCATCGCTACTATGTATTTATGAAAAAATACAAACCCTCATGCATACAAATATAAACATTATATACTTGAAAACAAAGGAGTGCAAATCATAATTTCAGATATTTCAAACTGTCCGACTCACCTGTCTCCACATGTCTGTGTCTCTTAAGCCGCAGAACAGGCCACTACGCAGTTCAGCAGAGCCAGAACACACACCATGGAGACAGATATGGACCTTGCACTGCTGCCTCCTGTACAAAAACAACAGGTCCAGAGCCATCGTCACAACCAAACCCAAATGCAGCTGCCTGCCCCAGATCTCAGCACTCCTCCAGTCCTAAACCAGGCTCCAGCCCCAGACACAGCCCCATCTCCAGGTCAAGAGCACGGCCTCCATGCCAGCGCTGCAACTCTCAGGTAGGCTGACATGCTGAAAATTGTCAGTGCAGTAGAAGTTTTCTTCTTAATTCATTTCGTTTTAGGGCAAAGAAATTAAAGTTTTGTCACCTTTCATTTCTTCAGATTTTTAGACAATTGATGCCCAGGGATGATTAATATTTCAATTTACTCACTAAACAAACTTGTAGCTAGATACAGTACGTCTCAGAAATCTTGTCAAAAAAAAAAAAAAACAGGAACTAATTGAATGAGTCAGACAAAAAAAAAAAAAAAAAAAAAGAAATCCATGTAAAAATCCTCAGCTTGTTTTTAGTAAAATTAAATATTACATTTTTACCACTTATACCAAGTATTGTGGAAGTTCAATTAACATGCAATAACCTTTTTCTACTTCTGTGCATGCTCAGATTAAGAATGTCTGCTGTAAATGTCTAGACTGTTAAAATGTTTGATGGGGTTTGGTTGGCCAGCAGACAGTATTTGTTCCTCATTTGTTTTAAAGTAATCTCAGCTCTCAGAGAGGATGTCTTTCAGTCACAGGGGATTTTCGTGACAATAAATGTATACAATCAAATATATAAACCAGCAATAACTTCAAGTCAAATGCCTTGTTTGGAAAAACAGATTCAAATGGAGAAGCATGCTGTTTAAGTTTGGGATTTTTTTCTGTAGAAATATGTGTTTGTGTGTTTGTGTCTGAGTCCTGTGCAGCCATTTGTGACCACTTGACGTGTTCAGACTGGTTATGAATTCTTTGTTTGTTAAGAAATGCAGCGTCAACCTTTAAATGTTGAAGTCCTGATCTCTGTGTTGCTGTTGTGCACATTTTGCAGGACTCTCTGGATGAGCTGGAGATGGATGACTACTGGAAGGAGGTGGAGAATATCACTCGCACGGGTGGAGGAGCAGGGAGGGGAGAAGGTGGAGGAGAAGGAGAAGTGCCAGAGGAGGAGCAGCAGAAAATTTCTGAAGGTGAGATACGATGTTTCCATGGATAGACCTGAAAGCGACATATGAAGAGTCGACTCATGGTGTGTATTTAAATACAGGATTCAGAGGGTACTAACAAAAGAGAGAATGAAGTGTCAAATTTGATCTTTGTCATAGTTTTTGCTTCTCCATGTAGTGTATCGTGTCTCTCTTTAGTATATTTGCATTATTTTGTGGGTCTTTTTGTCTCTTTGTGGTAATGTTGCATTTCTTTTAGTCCTTTTTGAATGTCTTTGTCTTTGTGGTTCTTCAATTGACTTTCAAACAACAAATGCAACCTTTCCCTTTGTAAAAAAAACTTTGTAAAATTGAAAACTCAACCACTTGTATTTCTTAAATGATTACGGTTCAAAATTAAGCTTTGCGCTCATGCAGGACACATGGATCACTTTTCACCGTAGATGTTTTGACTTTTTCTGGCATACATGCAATCAGCTGGTTGTTTGATCTTTGTGTCTTTCATTTCAGTATTTAAGTGTCACATGTTATAGAGCAGAATGATTTTGTGTATCTTTAAGTAATTGTAAGCTGTTGATCAGAATCACAATGCCTGCTCAGACTTACACCAACCGAAATAAGAGGTAGTCAGGTCTTGTGTTTATTTCTGTGCGTCTCATTGAGCATGTTTAGGAAGGCTATTGTTCTCTTAGGTAAACACAATCTTCCTGTGTTACAGTGTGTACAGTTTGTCAGTGGTTACTCCTTTCCCTTTCCTCCACCTGGAAAGTTGCCCCGACTGTCTGTTACAGGAAAACATTAATGCTTCTGTATCCATTTTTTTCAATTTATTACAAATCTAATCTCATTTTCTCTCTTAGAAGGCGAACAGGAGGAGGCATGGCTAACAGAGGCGGGGCTGGCACGGCTGTTTGATGATTCACTGGCAGCTGACCAGGATCAGGTGTCATTCATCTTTCCCTAAATTTAAACACTTAGTCATAGTTTAGCAGCTTTATGTTTACAGTTCGTGTTCCAGTGGATGCACTCTGTATTGTTTGTGTGTGTCATGCTATACAAAAAAATCTTACACGAGTGAGAATGTGTTTATTTAAGACTGACTGAAGAAGGCACCAGATGTATGATAAAGTCTGTATAAATAGCATTGATTATGCTTGTCTCTGATTGGTTGATTGACAGGAAGAAGACAGTGCTGTGTTCCTGTCCACACTGACGAGAACTCAGGCGGCCGCTGTCGAGCGACGTGTTGCATCTCTACAGCAGACGCTACGACGGCGCAATCGGCAGCACGTCCCTGACGTCAGAGACATTTTCCGACCTCCTGAAAAGGTTAGCAGATGTATAAACAGACACACTCAACACAAAGTCATTCTATTGTATTGACATAAAAGAGATAGATTTATCTTGAAAAACAAATAACATTGGATACAATATATTTAGCAAATACATTTTTTCTATTGAACATTTCGAGCATTATCGAAGCAATCTGTGTAATCTGTGGTTACTTTTAACTTAACTTCTGCTTCCTCTCTTACAATTCCTATTAGCAGAATAAACCACTTTGAACCAAAAAATCACGATCACACACACACACACACACACACACACACTGTCTGTTAATTAACAGACAAGATAATATGTAACATGAAGAATGTTACAAGGAGGAGGCGGTCTGTTTTAATTTGTGACAAGTTGAACATTACACTTTGTGCAGTCCAGTTACGCGTCTCTGTGTTGCAGGATGATGATCTCAGTAAACTCAAAGGGGGAAGTGAGAACGGACAAAAAGATGTCACTTCATCTGGTATGTGTCTCACACTCCTACAGACTCACACACACACACACACACACGAGACCCAAATAAACTTCTGCCTAGCAACCCATACAAACATCAGAAAAATAATAGCGCAGAAAAATAAATCGAGACTGAAATGCCGTAGAATTTCTAAATATGTTGTGCGTTCCTGTTAAATCGATAAAAACAAAACAGATAAAACATCAGTTGTGTGTTCATTCATCCAAATATAAGTTATAGTTAGCAGCCCCTCTCTCTTTCTCCCCCCCTTTAAGTTCAGTGACTAAAACATTTGAGCATTAATGAGAGAAAAACACTTTGAACTTTCCATCGCTGTGTTTATAAAACTGCACTGTACCTACATAAACACACTCGTCCTGCACTACTAGTGCGACTGTATCTCTTATTTCCTTTTATGTCTGTGTCTCAACAGAAACAGAGACCGAGCTCAATGTTGAAGTGGCTTTTTCAGAGCAGGCGCTCACTTACAGGGACTACCACCAAAGGTTAAAGGTCAACACAGGCCCCAGCTCACCTGACGACAAACTACCGGTGAGTCACGTACCTGTAAACACACACACACACACATTAAATGCAGATTTACTTCCTCATCTGTATTTTTTTTCACAGGGGAACAATGTATGTTGTTGTCAATAAAAAGATAAATGCATTGGTTTAAAATATTGCCTGTATGCATATACAATACAATTGCTATACTATGCACTTCACAAAGCCACTCTGTTGCTGCATGTGTTGTGTTAAATCAGAGCTCGTATTGATTAATGATTAATTATTGTGGGTCAATGATTACCAGAGATAGAGATCTGACAACAGAATTAAAAGAATTTACTGCGCACAGATGTTTTTTGCTGCTCGCTGTGCATGCAAGTGTGACAAAATGTTTGCCTTGCATCTTTACAAGAACAGAAGTATTTACTTTATCACCCCAAATTTCAAATTATGGCAAGTTCTCAGTGTGTTTTTACAAGGAAATGAAAGATCATTCTTTCAAATCTTGCTTTTCATTAAAAAAAAAAAAAAAAAAAAAAAACATTAAGATTTGAGACTCATTGCTTGATGTACGGCATGGACAGCGTTTTGAGAGCTGATCTGCAGTGCCACCTGGTGGTTAAAGTTGGTAACACAGGCAGTTTTCACTAGTGTTCATAAATAGGTCTCTTGTCACTTCTACAAACCAATATATTTTCCATTACACCCTTGACATTGATCATGCAGTGTGAATGTAAACACAGTCAGAAATGTGTTTACTGTACTGTGCTTGTCATTCAAGCCTGTCTGTCATCCTCTCTCTTTCTTTTTCCCTTCAGAACTTTAGGCTGCTCCGGGATAAAACAGGTCAGACCAGAATAGGAGATCTGTCTCCTCTGGATATGAAAAAGGTAACATGGTTGGATGCCAATATCTGTTTGTTTAAGTCATGTTGGTTTAATGCTAAACCTCTAAAGAGTAATCGCCTGTCAGATGAGTAATGAGTGTTTGAGCGTGTAGTTACAACAAAATATTCTCTACATAAGGATAATAGAGAATAAAGATGCACCTATTCTGATCCAATCCAAACTAAAGTTATTTATGAAGCACATTTAAAACATCTAGTCACGTTCATTCATATATAAAAAGCAACACAATAGAAAGATTAAGACCAATTTAAAAAACAGGAATTAAACTAATACAAGTAAAGCGTCTACTTTTACACTATAACAACATATTTAACTTATTTGTCTGTCTCTTTAATGTTTTGTCAGGTGCATAGAGTGGTGCTGGTGGAGATGACGGCACTATTTGACACAGCAGGGATCGACCTTAAGGCTCACAAAGCTGTCAAACTCAAGACTAAAGGTATAACGCATACACCAACAAGGTCTTAGAAGTAGGAAAGTACTGAAGATGAAAAAAAACCTGAAAGTTAACATGCACAGAAACATGGACATGAACTATGAAATTTAAAAACAAGACTTTTTGCTAACACACAGACAGGAGTACACTATATTCCAACACTGCAAGACACAATGGAGCAGTCAACATAGCTAAAAATAAGAACATGACAGTTTTGTTTCCAGGTAAATATTTGAACTTGGTGTCCTGTATTAGGCTATTTATGTTAAACTAAATATTTGTTTGTGTGTGCAGAAAGTGGTCTATTTGGAGTTCCCCTTGCCACTTTATTGGATCAGGACCAGAGGCGGGCTTCTGGGACCAAAGTGCCATTCATATTGCAGAGGGTGAGCACATTTACTATAAAGCAGTACAACTATGATTAGAGGAAGTTTTACAATAGTTATTCAGTTTGTCTCGACGTTGGTGACCCCTGTTGACAGGCGTCCTCTTGTCTCTCTGCTGATCTTGTCCTGTACATGTGTAAGTTGTGTTAAAACAATTAAAATCTCATCCTGCTTTCTTTAAACAGTCAAATGTTTTTACCCATTGAGAATCTTTACCTTTTGAAAATGTAAAAAAATCTGCAGCCTGCTTTAAATGCCTTCATCTGACACCGTCCATGTGGCAGTTCATCATCACTAGTATGTCTAACTTAAATAGTTGTCTGACACTTTCTACTTTTAACTTGACTGTGATCACTTTATTGCTTTTTCTAGCTGATGTGTCATATTGAGGCGGAGGGATTAAACACAGAGGGGCTGCTACGGATCCCTGGAGCTGCAACTAGAGTCAAGGTTAGTTTTAGAGAATTAGCATGACTGTTGATACCATTAATGACGTGATTTGCTATTAAAGTAGAGAAACAATCTGACCCCTGTCTATCTATCCCAAACACAGTCGCTGTGTCAGGAGCTTGAGTCCTCGTTCTATGATGGGACGTTCCCATGGCAACAGTTGAAGCAGCATGATGCGGCTAGTCTTTTGAAGATGTTCATCAGGGAGTTACCCCATCCTTTACTCACTGTGGAGTACCTCAACGCGTTTCTTGCTGTCAACAGTATGTTAAGAACCTGTTCATGAAGCATTCTGCTGATTTGCTAAAAGTTTGCAGACAATTTATGTGATGGAAAAAAGGATCAACTTTGCATTAAGGATTGTTGCGTGTGCGTGCGTGTGTGCGCGCGTGTGTGTGTTTTTACAGACCTCCCTACAAAGAAGCAGCAGCTGCAGGCTTTGAACCTGCTGGTCCTTTTGTTACCTGAGGCCAATCGGGACACTTTAAAAGTACATGAGAGCTGCTTCCTGTTAGATTTCTATTTCAATTTGAAAAAGTTTTTTTATTTTAGTATATCTGATTTTATTTTTTTTGTTGTTTGTTTGCTTCCACAGGCTCTGGTGGAGTTTTTCCAGCGTGTGATTGACCACCAGGCCAAGAATAAAATGACTCTCAACAATGTCTCTGTTGTCATGGCACCCAACATCTTCATGTTCAAAGGTTTCCGCTCCAAAGTTACAGAACAGCAGGAGTTCTCCATGGCAACCAGCACGGCCAACATCGTCCGGCTCCTTATTAGATACCAGAATCTTCTCTGGACTGTAAGGATGGAAAAATACTCCTCTAGTTTGATATATTCTCCTTTGAATCCTTGTGTTGCACAAAAACATCAATTTGTTCATGGAGTAGGGAGGATAGAGCAGTGTATAAACTGAGGCCATGAAATCTCCCTTTTGTGCCCCTCCAGATCCCAAAGTTCATTGTGACCCAGGTCAGACATCAAAACATGGAAAGTCATCGGAAACAAAATAAAGAGAGAGCTGTAAGAAAACTCTTGAAGAAGATGACCACCGAAAAGACATCTGAAAAAGCTATCCCAGAGGTAGGAGATGAACTTAAATAAACAACAACAACCACACTACTAAGGACTGTGCGAATGAGAAGCTGTAAATCTACATTTCTTTAACTGTAGGTTTTATTATTATTATTATTATTTATTATTTTATTATTATTATTACATGGTATTGCAAGAGCTCCTACTCCAGACTGCAAATTGATATGTAATGAAGCCTAAGCAAAGATGTGCCTAAATATTTGAACACTGAATATGTATGGTAGTTAAATTTTGATACCAGCCTTTCATGCAGTATAACTGCATTGTGTTTATAATGTACACTGCTCCTCTGAAAAAAACCCGGAAGATACAGTATATTGAGAAACGGTGACATCTAGGGGTGTAGAAAAATAGCAGTTTTGTTCTTATGGGAGTATATTTTACCTTAACTGCAACTTGTAGGCATCAAGAGACAAATACTATTCCTAATATTCGATCATTAAGTTAGTATTTCTGTCACAATGTATCTACTGCTTTACAGAATATTTATATTCATTTGATCTATTGATTATTTACAAGTATCTTATGCCTTTCAACCGAAAAGTTGAGGGTTCAATCCCCAGCTGTGGGCAACATGTCTGATGTGTCCTTGGGCAAGACACTTAACCCTGCATTGCTTTAAAGAGTCTGCAAAGTGAATTGTAACATTGTAACTACTACAGCAACCTTTGACCATTCATGCTACGTGCTCTAAGGTCAGACAGTGTTTGTATCTTGTTTATCAAAAGACCAGGATTTTATCCAACACCACATTTTTGTTGTCTGAAGTCACGGTCACATCGAGTGTTTGTGTAAGATGCAGACAGTGTTTTGACCTTGTTTTTGTGTGTGTGCTTATGTCTGTGTTGTTTTTCTGTGTTTGTCTCTGTGTTTATAAACAGGAGGGCTCACAGGGATTTATCCGAGTCCAAGCCCCACAGTTCAATAAAGTGTCCATGGCAGTTCAGCTGACCGAAGAGTTACTGGCTGTTGATGTGCTCACACGCTTCCTCAGCCAGGACTGGTAATGTGTACACCAACAGCTCCGTAAACAGTATTTTTCCAGACTACTTAAGGCCTATATTTATCATTTATTTTTTCCTCCTGCATCATTTTTGCTCTTTCTCTCTTTGCCGTCCCAGTTCAGTGGCAGTGAAAAAAGAAGAGCTGTGTCTCTATGAGATTGGTGGAAACATCAGTAAGTCCTGCACTACCTAAATATATATTAATCAAACGTTTTTATTTTGTTTTTCTGCAGATAATCCCGTAATTGAGCTGGAAGGCCTTACGATTATAACTCAAACCTGTTGTTGTGACTGCAGTTATCAATCAGAATGATCTCTTCCCTGTCTCTCATTTCTCTTCATCTTTTGTCCCTCAGAGGAGAGATGTCTAGATGGGGAAACGTTTATGAAGGACCTCTTCCAGCTGAACCCGACTGCAGAATGGGTCATCAAAGTTGCACAGAAATAGTCATTTGCACTTGCCGAATGCTGGGCTGCCCAACCCTGTGTCCTACTGAGAAGAGACATAACCTGAATCTCTGGTTTCTGCTGGTTCAGGACGTTCTTGGACTCTTCATTTGTAGCAGAGATTTCTGAATACACACAATTTGCTTGCCCTGACCACAGCCTTAAAATACAAGTGGAAGTCCTCTGACTGAAAATACTGCTTGCGTTTCCCACCACAGCCAGACTGTCAAACAAGAACAAAAATTGTGCTTTGACAGATGTTTCCATTTATTCTCCTCCTCGCCGTGTGATGCAAATTTGAGTTTCAGGCCTCAATAACCACTATCCTGAAGTTTCATTTGGGTAGATGAATAAAGACTTATTTTTAGTTGACCTAAGGTTATCTCTCGAGTTCTGACAGACTGCTGATGAACTACAAGTTTGTTGAAGCACTTGAGCCACAATATTGTGATTTTAAACACTTAGTGATACTGAAAGTGTTGCAGTTGTAATCTTTGATTTATTGCCACTAATGTTTTTGCATCTGCAGTGAAATGTTGAGATAATATAGGGAGACCAAATATTAACATTCTCTTCCATCAACAAGAATAATTTGAGAATTTTGGCTTTTCTTATTTATATTTTTATTTAAAGCCCTTTAAAACACAAATGTGATTTTATTATTGTATGTCAGTGTATTGAAGCACTTCACTGTAATCAACAGGGAATGAACGTTGGAATAAATTGATGTTTCGGGAGCTTTATGTGGAGTTCTAGTGTATGTGATGGAGTACTGCTGTACTGTGAGGGAGGGGCCCCTATAGGTGGCACACTTCAACATTCATCAGAAATATATTCATAATGATGTTGTCACTGACAACTAACCTGGGCACGCAATGATGACATCACTGTTTTATGGTACATTAATAATGCTGTACTTTCTAACTGTATAAACCATTGATGTTTGAGTGTTTTTATGGGTTCATATATTTTTGAAAAACTGATTTACCAATTTGAACCAACACAGTCACGACTGTGCGTAAGCTCCCATAAAAGTCACCAAGTCAGTTGCCTTACAAGTTTTGTACCAAAGACTCATTTTAAAGAACTGTTTGACTCTAAATTGACAAATTCAATAGATCCAAAGCTGACTGTATGATTGCCTTTTTCAATGACACACCCTAAAATCATGGGCTGCAAATGTATCTGAACACTTCTGGCTTTACCTGTTTTTATAGCCCACTGGTAAAGCAATGTTAGTGAAGAAATGGAAGAGAAGAAAAAGTATATTATCTGTTGCACACATACAGTATCTGTACTTTGCTTGACTTGTAACAAAACCTTATCTGATTATGTGTGATTCATTACAGTTTGGGCGGCCTGTGGAGAATAAAACATTGCAGCTGTTCATCTTGTGTTAAACTGAAAAAACTACAATTAATGTGACACTACCTGCCTTGTATTGTCTCGTTTTTACTGTGAATATTTTTTCTGAATACTGATTTGTCTTATTAATGTCCCTTAAATGACCACAAGACTGTAAATAAACACATAGTTATTAATTACCAAGTGTGTTGTTGAGAGTGCTGGTTTATGCGTCCAGGTTACATTTGTTATAGGGTTTTATTATGAACCTATAATGACTACTGTTTAATATGCTGAGTGCTTCAGAGTAATTCCTTCCCTTCATCAGGCAGCCGACAGCCTGACCAGGTGCTTGCTCTAATTTCCTTTGAGAAGTAATTGTCCTCAGTTAAGGTGTATGGTCACAATGCTAATGGAGTTAGTGGGTCTTAAAAGGCCTGAGCCAGACTTCATTGGTTTACCAGGGTCACAGACTGACACAAAATGTAACGGTGCGCAGTAACCTTGTTTCTCCTCTCTAAGAGCAGACCTCGATCCTTACTGCAAAAGGATATGGTCGACACTAGTCTTTTTTTGTTTTATATGAGAAGTAATCAAACAGTCAAATTAAAAAGGACAATTGATATATTTATTTAATCAATTTATTTTTAAACTAATGAAAAACACCTCCATATTTTTTTCTGATGCAAGGCATTTAATGAAGAAAGTAGATGTTGTGATCTACCAATTTAAAATACTTAGAAAAGTTAACTAGAAGCTAAAATACTGTACTTATTATTTCATTATAACAGTTAATAGGAAATTGATTTCAGTTAAGACAAGATTTAAGCAGAATCCTCAGTATTGCGCATTACCCTAGGAAAATACCTCATAAAACAAGTGGTACAATTTTGAATTTTTTTGTATGTATTAACCATAGACTGTAAGGCAGGGATGGGCAACTTTGGTCACAGCAAGGGCCACATTCATTTAATTCTCACTGCCAGGGGGCCAAATTGTAGAATACAAAAACGATTACAGTCGATTATGTCTCACATTTATCTCAACATATACCAGTGATCAAATATTATTATGGACATATTTCTGGTTTTCACTATTTCATGGCAGATTTTGTCATCTTTTCTTCATGTTCCCAATTAATTGATATGTCAAAATTGACCTGAGGGCCACATTGAGGGTTGATGGGGGTCGCCAGTTGCCCAGCCCTGCTGTAAGGTATGGTTTTATGTATTAACACATCTCCAATTCACTTGTGAGATCATGTAGCCAACAACTTTGTTGAAATGTCTGCGTTTAAACTTCAAAAAGCTCATGTAAGTATTGCTACTATTTATGAGTTCAAAACATAGGACTAGACTGTAAATATTAAAGCAACCACTACACCGTCCGTGACTATTACCTTCAGTGTTTTGATGTCGTGGACAAACCCATCAACGAGAAACATAACTGTGTACGCACCTGATTGGTTGACATCACTTTGGCGCTTCCATTGGTTACTGTCAAGCCAGACGCGTTGTGATTGGTGGAAATGCGAGAATAGGAAGTGTCGCTCAGTTGTAGAGCTTAACATGGATAGCTGGTATTAGCTGGTCGATAACAATTTCAGGCAAAAATATTTTTCATTTCCCCGGTGTGTAATAGTTTTAAGAGGTGCAAGACAACCATTTTTAGACCGAGGAGCTGTGTCTCTTTAAAACACTGCGCTGCTTGGAAGGTGTTTTACGTGGCTGTAGTAGCCTGTCAGCTAGCAGCGAAACGTCAATTCAGCCTGTTACTACTTAGCTAGCGTAGCTTTGAACTGAAATGTGTTAGCTCGTTGGACATCTAGAGTGACTAAACTAACCAGGTTGTTTCCCAGTGAGAGTGCCGTTTCGTGTTTCTTAGTGTGTGTGAGTTTATTAATGCTACGTGTAATAGTGTGACTCGACTGTAACTGGATGTTTAGTCATAGACACAGCAGCAGTCACAGCTAGCACATAGTTAGCTTGTCAACAATGGGCTATAAAAGGTATTTAAAGACGGCAAGATCGTTTTATTTGTTGATCATTCTGATACTAGTCGCTGCCAAAGGAATCACAGCTGGTAAGTGTGTCAGTTTTCTTAACAATTGCGTGGATTGAAAGGGATACTTCTGCAAGCAGCTGTTCATATTTGACGATCATGTCTGTGTGAAGTAAACACTGTTTTTACTTCTGTTTACACTTTACAGATGAAGAGCAACACGTAGATGACGGACCAGAGCTAAAGGTATCTCTATCAAACTCTGAGAATAGCTGGCTGGAGCTATGCTTTTGAAATGAAGATCAATAATACCTTTTATAGTTTGGATCTGAAACATTTTTACTTTCTAACCCTGTGTGAAGTTTTAAGCTTTTGTCTAGAATATATGTTGACATTGCAGCAGACAGAAACAAGTTAATACCTACCTGTCTGTGTTAAAGTAACAATCAACTATTTCAAAAATAGTCTGTAGAACAGCTCTGCATCATGCAGCTGATGTTAAAATGCTGTACGACTCCCCATCCAAATGCTACTTTGTAAAAACTTCTTGATTGTCTCTCCAGTCTTACCATGACCCAGACTCTGAGGAGGAGGATGTTCGTCTGACAGCAGAAATTGTAGCTGGCGCTTCAGTGACCTCTGGCCATGACGTCTCACCGCCAGAAGAGGAGAAACAATCACCTGAAGATGGACTGGAGGGAGAGGAGAAGGAAGATCTGCCTGAGCAGCCTCCTCCAGTTCTAGAGAAACCTAAAGAGGGTAAGGACTTTTATTTTAATCACAGTAAATGCAGCCAGAAATATAAAAACACAGGACAAATAGCAAGTCATTTAGCTTACTTTAGGGCCTTCTTGGAGTCTAATCTAGTACTCAATATAATTAAAATGCCTAATTTCTTATTTGATTTTCTTGAAGGCTAGGTATTTTGTTTTGAACTCCGGTTTTATATCCACATTCAAGCCCTTTTTTTCTGGCTATGCTTTGATTTTTTGGCTCATGTTTCTGTCCTTGCATGTCTGAGTGAGAAAGAGATGATGGATGGTCATTTTTTTATGACACTGAGCAAAGCGAGCTTTAGGTAATATTTTTAATTTAACAACAAAGGCTAGGAATGGAAGGAGTAAAGGAATAGAGCCAAGACGGTTGGAAATTTGTCTCTGGCCACATTGGCAATCCTGATCCTGAAATGAGCAGTTGCACATCCACACCCACTAGGACACCACTTCCACTCAGCATATGGAAAGCCTATTGTTTGATTTTTTTTTAACATGTAAAGCTTCAAGTAGACGTTTGAACAAGGATAAGTGACACACCAGGCATCTGTTTCATGTTAGGTTTTATGATGATAAGACACATTTGAGATATTGAACTGAAGACCTTAAATCTGCATGAGCATTTCTTATGCAGATTTTCAATGGGTCGTCTTTCAGTATCTCTATTGAGTCCTTGATGCTTTAAGGTATAAACTGTGTCTTGGACAAATCAGTTTTTTAGAGCTGAAAAAAAAAACTACAGCAAATAAACTTTAAGCTTTGCTGAGTCTTGCATGTTAATTGTTTTTCAGTTTAGCTGACTCTGAGCAAAGACGCGTGTGGTTTCAAGTCGGTGCCAGGCTGGATAAACGGTTAAACCCCCTGAGAAATTAACAGGGCTTTGCACCTGTGGCTCCTCTTGCAGTCAGTTACATTATTTTACTTGGGGACTGTTTTTAGAGAGTTAGCTGCTTCCTGCTGACCTGCTGCTGTTTTGCACAAGTATCATATCTGGATTCAATCAAAAAGAGATGTAATAGTTGTTCTTTTTAAAACCACACTGAATGCTTTATTTATTATAAGTTGTAAATCTGTAACTGTCACAGAACAAACAAGATCACGGTAGTGTAGCGTAATTGAATTATTAAGATGTTATATCTTTATTTAACCTCGGATTAAAAGAAGGGGGCACCACTTCCTGTTAAAGGAAGAAAATAATTTTAATGGTATAAGTTCACTAATTAATCAGTCAGTTTCATAAATTGAAAGAAGTAAGTTCTAGAAATGTTAAACAAGAAAACACACAGACAAAGTCCTGAATTTTATGTGTAAAATTTAATATAAAAGGGGTAAACAATAATGTATTGATGAAACAGATAAAGAATATGATTATTATGATCAGGATAATGCAATTATAATGTATGGTGACATTATATATTTAGTAATGAGATAAGATGCGGTATTGTTTGAATGACTTAATCAGAAAATGGTCAAAAAGAAAAAGTTGATAAAGGAATTTTGGGATTCTATTTGGATTTAAAGGAGGGCTCTGAATAGACACGACTCAAGACTTACTCTTCCAACACCCCTTGCCACCAGCAGTCTCACTGTGAGATGTGTTCAATTGAGCTCTGCCAGCTGGTCCCGCGTTTCAGTCTCTGGCAAGCGGTTCTTTTCAGGCCCAGAGAGGTCCACGGGCCAGATTAGATGCAATTGGTGAAATTGGTGTCTTAAAATAACACCTTCTATAGCTAATATCAAAGCGTATGCTTTATAACACGTCTAAATGTATAATTATGAAGGTATAACGTATTCATGGATATTCTAACACTAGATGGCAATAGTGCTCCACGTCAAATTCCTATTAAAACTCATATAACTCTTATTCCTATTCTGAAAATCAGATTTTGAGTTTAAAAAGATGATTATAATACATTCAATGTGACAATTACAAATATCTAGATGAAGAAAGACATCAATGTTCATTTGATGCAGAATTGAACGCTGTGGTTTAATTCAGTTCTTCAGCTGTCCTTCATGGTCAATTTTACGACTTTGCAACACTGATTTCGGTCACAGTTCATGTCTTTGGGGTCAATTCATAGATAGCAGAGTGTTCTGTTTCTGCTCGATTGTTTATTCCAGGTGTTGTAAAAGTTAATACTATCCTGTCTTCCAAAGCCTGTCTGAGAGGGAGACTTAAATCATTGATCAGTTCCTTTGTTTCTTGGTAAATAAACCCAGATGTTAATCCACAGTCCTGAGTCCTGCAGGAAGAGAGGTTGATAACGGCTACAGTAGACAAGACATTTTTTATTACTTTCAAATGATTTGAGTTATTAAATAGCTCTAACAAAAACTCTCTTTTTCCTCTAATACAGTTCCTGTTGTAAATGGAGGTACAGCACATGGAGAGCCCTGTATCTTCCCTTTCCTCTTCCAGGGGCAGGAGTACTCGGACTGTTCCACTGATGGACGGGGGGATGGACGTTTGTGGTGCGCCACATCTTATGACTATGACCAAGATAAGAAGTGGGGATTCTGTGAAAGTAAGTCTTGAACCTAATACCTTGATTGGTACATACCGGTAGTAAACACTTTTTGAAAGCAAATGTAGCAGGATTGCAGTATAACAACATTAAAGATGGATTTGGTAGGATTTGTTTGTTGCAGATTGTAAACACTGCATTCAATCTGAGCCCCGCCTCTTGGGCTTACTGCTCCCAGAATCACATACTCACTGCAGGACGTTGGTGTGTACATTTACTGATTGCACCTACACTGCAAGCTAACACATTTTAGCACAAGCTAACCGTCTGTGGCATCTTGGCATCTGTAGGTGAAAGCTAACCCAAGGTTCACCCTCAGTTTCGAACAAGCTTTTTCCACTTGGCGTTTAGCCTAAACTATGATTCTATTTGCTCTTCTTTGCCTCTTCATCCACGTCTGTCAATTTGGTCAGTTTGAATCACGTCTAATTGCTGAATTGTATCTCACCTGCATGCTGTCATTGGTTGGGGGAAACAGACCAGCTCTCTGCCCAGAAACGTCCCTTGACAACCAACAGAACACAGAACATCAAAATCCAGGCAGAGGACAGGGTCTCTGCAGACACAGTCTCCACTACACATGTACAGCACCCCCTTAAGGGATGATTGACCTGCATTACTTTTGAATAAGTCTATATTTTATTTTTTAAGAAAAAGCTGCTGACACCATCTTTAAGTGTCAAATATTGAAATGCAGTCATTAGTTTTCATTAAATGGAAGTTTTACTAAACTGTCTAAAAATATTTACCTATATGATTGCTTTGGAAAAACACCAACATAAATCATCATTATCATAATTATTATCATTATTTGAGTATCAAAGTAAAAGCCTTCAGAAGCTCCACAAACTAAAGATGAAAATTACCCTGAGGTCGCGTCATGGTTTCATTTCCACACTTATCTACACTCACTCGCTGCTTCAACATTTAATAAACCATCATCTGAATGTTCTTACCGGCTTTCCCTCTTTTTCAGCGGAGGAGCAGGCGCAGCTGAGATTGCAGGCGGAGGAGACAGAGGAGCAGTATCTGTCTATCCTGCGGGTGCTGAATGCCACGACCAGGAAGACGCAGAAGAGAGAGTGAGTTTCTCATCGGATTTATATCATTGCTTTCAATCTTCTTTGTTGTTACACAAATACATTTGATTTGTTAATAACAAACGGTAGAGGTGGGGGGAAAAAACGATGTAAAAATTGAGATTCTTCTAAGATTTAAAATCGATTCATAACTTCCAAAAATTTATAAAAAATAAAAATAAAATATATATACTGTATGCAGTGTTTCCCTTACCATTATATTAGGGGGCAGCCCCCCCCCCTTGAAGGTCAAGTTAACGCTGGTATGTATAGATGTTTTTTCAGTAGAATGCCAAATAGAGCAACAAGAAATTCAGCCAGTCTCACAGATGACTGGAGTAGATCCTGAAGTATGTACTAATTCATAAATAGACTTTGAATCCAGAATCGTTTCGAATCGAAAATCGATTCTGAAGCGAATTGCGACCCCAAGAATCGAAATCGAATCGTATTCTGAGACACCCAAAGATTCCCAGCCTTAAAAAACAGTGTCCTGAACAAAAATATATCATTCTGGTTCTGTAAAAGAACATGTTTATCTTTTATTAGGTATTAGCTTTTTTGAATATGTCTGTAAAGAAACTTCCCAATTCTCTCACAAACATTAAACGTAGTTTAGAGCCTTCAAACCTGACAAAAATGAAAGCAAAAAAAGATTACCAGATAAAGAAGACGGAATCAAATGAAGATTCAACTCATCTGAAAAAAATAAACATTTCTTCTTCATTTAGAAGCACAGTAAATCAAAACTTATGAAACGCAATGAAGCCCTTGGTGCATGAACAGCCATTTATCATCCGAATTTCATCAGATTCAGTTTGAGCTGTCTTTTTTTTTTTTACTGTGCTTAGTTTCCATGTGACTTTGTTCACCACATCCTTATTTGCTTAAGGTGTCATGTGGATGTTTTGTTGTGTAAGTGTAACTTTTTTTTAACGTGTGCCGATCTGCTTGCCCACCTGCTTTTAGATTATACGAAAAGCTGCAGAAAGTGGCAGACAAAGGTCACCAGAAAGCCATGGAGAAAGTGGCGTACGCCATGCTGTTTGGAGACTACATGAACCAGAACGTCACCAAGGCCAAAGAAATGTTTGAGAAGCTTGCTGTGGAGGGTTCGCCTAAAGCTCAGACGGTAAAGATAGCACCCAAAGTGTTCACGTGTCACATAAGGGAGTGTTGAAACAATTTCACCTTATCAGAAATGCTGATAATTACATATGTTTACTCTTCCACAGGCTCTTGGCTTTTTGTATGCTGCAGGACTTGGTGTTAACTCAAGTCAGGCGAAGGTAATATCTTATTATGTATGACTTCTGCTTTGTCTTCCTGTTACTTGTTGTGTATAAAATGTTGTGTGTTTTTTCTAAACAATTTCTCACGTGTCTTTCAGGCCTTAGTTTACTACACCTTTGGTGCCCTGGGTGGAAACTTGATCGCTCACATGATTCTGGTGAGTTGATTTGTCTGTCAGCAGTGCAATTTAACTGCAGTTTAATTTTAAAGCATACACATTAATATGTCCTCTTGTTGGCCTTTAGGGATACAGATACTGGGGAGGTGTGGGAGTTCCCCAAAGCTGTGAGTCAGCACTAACACACTACAGGCTCGTGGCAAATCAGGGTGAGCATTTACATCCGAGTCTTTCAATATGTATAACGTGTGATGTTTCAAATCCTCTTTGGCATTGAAGATTTTTTTTCTTCATCCCTTCAGTGGCCAGTGACGTGTCCCTGACAGGGGGCTCAGCGGTGCAGAGGATCAGGCTGCTGGATGAGGTGGAGAACCCGGGATCAACCAGCGGGATGCTGGAGGAGGACCTGATCCAGTACTATCAGTTTCTAGCTGAGAAAGGAGACGTGCAAGCGCAGGTAAAGTAGCATCTGTATCAAACAGTGTGCACCACTCGCATTTTTATTCTTTATTTCACAACAGTTTCTGCACTAATAATCAAAGCACTTCACCTTCAATACAAAACATCAACAGTCAAACACAAGTTAGTTAGTTAACCTGGTTATGTGTTTCCCCTGATAGGTGGGGTTAGGTCAACTACACCTGCATGGAGGACGTGGAGTTGAACAGAACCACCAGGTGACATATTTAAAAAATTGTAAAGTACTTACTACAATCACAGTGTTGTGTTCTTGTAATAATAAAATGCAGCATTAAAAATATTTGTGATGCTTTTTTTTCTCCAACAGAGGGCGTATGACTACTTCAACCAGGCTGCAAATGCAGGAAATACACACGCCATGGCTTTCCTTGGAAAGGTAAATCAAATGTGTTTAAAGTCCTTTTCTCTCCATTTCTCCACAGGGAGCTGTGGTATTAGTTACAGGACAGCATCCAGTTGCAAAATACATTTTAACTTTTTAATTTCTACTTTGTTTAACCCAGACATTGCTTCTGTCGATGCATGTTGGAATATTCAAATGGGTTATTTTTTAATATCTGTTTCTTCTTGTGTTCGTACACTTAATTAACGTGTGTGCTATACTATGATAGGAATTGAGAGAAGCAGTATAAAAAGAATGCTAATAATCTGGCATTGCTCTGTAACATAAGGCAGTGTAGTCTATTTTTTTATCTGAGCAAAATGCATCAGTTTTTGATTTCTCAGACATTTCTCCATCTGTCCTTCAGATGTACTCTGAAGGAAGCGAGTATCTCCCTCAGAACAACGAGACAGCCCTGCAGTACTTTAAGAAGGCCTCAGACCTGGTAGGAAAGAAACTGTACATTAATGTCTTTATCTCAAAGTGCACAACTGTTTATATGACCTTTCAGTTTTTGTGTCAATGTTTATAATCACAGTTATTCTTAAAAAGAAAGTGACACTTCTTTAACCTCATGAAAGGAGCAGTGCTTTCCATTCTATTTATTTCTTAATGTTTTCATTCAGGGTAATCCAGTGGGACAGAGTGGCCTGGGCATGGCCTACCTATATGGAAGAGGCGTCCCAGTGGTAAGAAACCATGACACATTATACAATCCTTCTTAAATCATGAATACGTTTAAGATGCATCCCTCTGAGTCTTACTTACATTTGCAGATTGCTCTGTGTTGCTAACATAGCAGTTAGAGTTTTCTGCATTTTAATTAAAAACAAAGTCAAATTTAGGTCTCAGGAAGGAGAATGAAAATCACATGAAAACCTCAGACACCAGAGGGTCCCTCGCGCAGAAATCCCAGCAGCAGTTTGAAATGTGTGTGTTTTGTGTCTTCAGAACTACGAGCTGGCACTTAAATACTTCCAGAAGGCAGCCGAGCAGGGCTGGGTGGACGGACAGCTCCAGCTGGGAACGATGTATTACAGTGAGTGTGGAGGGATGAGTCTCTTTTAACACCTGCTTTTGAACACAACGTCTGCCTCCTGTGAAAGTTTTTTTTTTTTGTTCCTCCTTATATCTACTACATCGTATCAATGTATCCAACTCTAATAATTCTCTTCACTAGCCTTCTCTCTTTATTTCTTCTCTAGACTTAATCATGTAATGTCAACTTCATGTGGTTCTTTTTTTTTTTTCCTCTCTTTCCTCAGATGGCATTGGTGTGAAGCGAGATTACAAGCAGGCTCTTAAATTCTTCAACCTGGCATCACAGGCGAGCCACATCCTGGCTTTTTACAACTTAGCCCAGATGCATGCAACTGGTACAGGAGTGATGCGCTCCTGCCACACCGCAGTGGAGGTGAGGCCCCCTGGAGCTGCTTCTTCTTTCCCTGTGTTGTGTTGAAGTCTTCCTGCTGTCAGTCAGCCATCACTCATGCATTAAAGCCCATAATCTGCACACATGTTATGTAGCTCTTCATTCTAGTCAAACTAGTCATCATCCAGTTTTGCTCCAGTAATCTGTCTTTACTCTGCTGTTTTGTATTGTGAGTTTGAAAATGATCCTCTGTGTACCTCTGTCCTCACTGCAGCTTTTCAAGAACGTGTGTGAGCGCGGCCGCTGGTCAGAGCGCCTCATGACGGCCTACAGCAGCTTTAAGGAGGGGGACAGTGATGCTGCACTGGTCCAGTATCTGCTGCTGGCTGAGCAGGGCTACGAGGTTGCCCAGAGCAACGTGGCCTTCGTCCTAGACCAGAGTAGGAAAAACATCAGCTTAAAATATCAATAAACAGTCTGAATTTACTCTCTGATCCTGTTGAGGATGTGTATGTTCGTCTGGTGTCCTGGTTCTAATAAATGATCCAGCAATTAAAAACTATATTACACTTATCTGCCTTAATTAATCAAATCAAAGTAAATCCCTTCATAATAGCAATTTGCCTTTGCCTCGGTTTGATCAGGGTTGGTTGACTTTCTTGGGAACAAGAGCCAAAATGTTTTCACCACACATTTGTTAAAATGTATTTATTTTTTCTTTTTCTGTCCTTGAACAAACAGAAGGAGCAAGGATCTTCAGTGATAATGAAACGTACCCGCGGGCTCTGCTCCATTGGACGAGAGCGGCAGCACAAGGTCAGTCTATTTTTAAACTTGTGCTAGATTTTATTAATGCATTACTTCTTTATATTAACCATTCACAAATGGATTACCCAGGTTACACCGTGGCTAGAATAAAACTAGGAGACTATCACTTCTATGGCTATGGGACAGATGTGGACTACGAGACGGCTGTCATCCACTACAGACTGGCGTCAGAGCAGCAGCACAGCGCCCAGGCCATGTTTAACCTGGGTTACATGCATGAGAAAGGCCTGGGCATCAAACAGGTGAGTTTTACTTATGAATACTGCTACAGTAAGGCTGGCCTCAGACTGCAGGAGGCTGATTTTGACCTGATTTGCCTCCTGCCCACAAACATATTTGACATTTGGATTTTTAATGGAGGGTGACCTCTGGGTTTTGAGGAGCCCACAATAGCTAATGAGCCAGGTTAAACATTCAGCTATGAGACAAGAAAGGTTAAAGGTACCCAGCTAATGATTAGAGAAGAGAATATGGGTTTGGATTTGTAGTCTTGCCTAAGGTAATCCTTGACTAAAATTCAAAAACTGATGTACGATATGGAATTGTTTCATTTCATTCTGCAGGACATCCATCTAGCCAAGCGTTTCTACGACATGGCTGCTGAGGCCAGCCCTGATGCCCAGGTTCCAGTTTTCCTGGCCCTGTGCAAGCTGGGTTTAATTTACACTCTGCAGTACCTGAAGGATCTTAACGTGAGTACTTCTCTCCTCAGCTCGAGCCATGACATTTTGGCTTTAAAGTAGAAAATCTGAATTGATTAGCTTAAATTAAAATGACCTATCCCTGACTCTCCTCATTTGGTTTCCACTCCGTCAGTTGAAGGAGCTCATTTCTCAGGTGGACCTGGACCAGCTCCTGGGCCCAGAGTGGGACCTCTACCTCATGACCGTCATCGCACTGCTGTTGGGCACAGTCATCGCCTACAGGCAGCGCCAGCACCAAATCATAGTTCCCCCTCGCCCCCCTGCTCCTGCCCCCCAACCTGCTCCGGCCCCACCTCCAAGACCACCTCAGGAACAGACGCAAGCCCCCGCCGAGCCCCAGGGTCAGGGAGAAACACAAGCCCAGGGCCCGGCCCCAGAGGAGGAGGAGCAACAGTGAGATGGAGTTGGACCGAAGGACGTGCTAAAATATGACTGAGTAGGCTGCTGAACTGCAGTCTGACAATTCCCTTTCTTTAATTCAGATATGCTGGTCCTGTGGTGAAGACAGACAGGGGGGGGACATGGACAATGTTACAGAACAGAGTGTAGAAAGGGAAACACAGACATGGACTCGCTAATCTGTGACTCAGGATACTGCCAGAATCCCCCCTTCCCCTCTCACCGTGGAATAACAGTAGTCTCACAGCTTCCAGATGAAAGGCTTTTTGGACTTTACAGATCAAAAAAGTCAACATGTTTGGAATCTGATATGTGCGTTAGTTTCTGCTCACGTTCCCTTCTTCTCATGAGAAAATCACACCCAGTCAAGCTGCTTCAATCCCAATCTTGATGTGTTCTCTCACTAATTAGCAGACTTGAATATTTGGCACCTTTGTTGATGACACTTTGAGTGAGCAAATTTTGCAATAATTTTTGCATTTATTAATGAGTTTGTTTAGTTGACATATCAGGTCTTTACCTTTTTGCATACCTGTAAAGAGAGTTAGATTTTTCAATTCAACATTAGTAACTTTACTTAACACCTTCTGAGGCCATGCTGTGTCACTAGTAAAAGAACAACATACCTGTTTAGTGGTTAATGTTGAATAAAAAAAAAAAGAGGCTGGACTAGAGCGATTTTCAACATTGCAGACACTTAAAAAAAACACGAGAGGCTGCTAAAGTCAAGAGCAATCTGTCAATGAAATCTCTGATGCTAATCCTGTTTGAAACATTTTCCATCAACAATCTTTTTTGGGTAATTTTTGCGCTTGGATTTGGTCTTATCCCACAAATCCTGTGTTTTTTCTAAGCCGTGTGTTAGCTGAGGCAGAACTGGAGCAGCCTTAAATATAACAGGATCTCAAACTCTGGATTGTCTCTAAATATGAGGAAGTGAAATCTTTTTTTTGTGTGTATGTGTGTGTTGTCATTACGCAACTTCAGCTGTTCTTCCACTTCCACCCCCTCACCAAAAGTCCAAGTTGGAGCTGTTGAGCTCTGCCTACACTTTTCAGTTTAGATAGACTTAAATCATAAAAAGTAGGTCTTGTTTTAGGCCAGACAGTATTTATGAAAACAATGATGATGAGAAATATCTGATTCTGCCACATGGAGACCATTTGTTCAGTTCCATAATATGTGCTCGTTCTATTAATTGACAAGTCATCTGCTGATACATCTGCATGAAGTCAGAACAAACTGAAAAACTGTTATCTGTAGGAGGAGAAAAAGAAAATGTTTCCTGCTCAACATAATTTGTCTAAAATGAAACACTGGTGAAGTTGTCGAGCTGACTGCATTTTTACCATCGCAGATACAAGTTTATAAAGAAATTAATAAATGATATATGGATATTTAATGGCTGTTTTGTTGCTTTCTTATAGTGTAAAGTTTTATTTGTTAATCACAAACTGTGTATTGTTCCAAACGAGAAATCTTGTTATTGTTCACATTTTGGCTTGCTGACATTCAGATTGGCTCCCCATTGGACCCACTGGGTGTCATTCAGCTTTAGAGGGTGTGTGACAGACAAAGCGACATTGCTGTAAAGCTGAGCATCACATTGTGCGGGTCTGTAGGGGGGACCCATTGAATGATCCGTACGCACTACTATGGAGTGGCTTTGGATCGCTGTGGCAACTTGTATGCTCACGTCCCCCTATGTCAAAGGTAAGTGCTAGAACAAGCAGGAGGGCAGAGCACATGTGAGCCTGTGTGAATGTATTTGTTGTTACAACAGCCTCTGAAACTAGGCCTTTTTTACGCAGGTTGTTTTTGAGGCCTATAAGGTTAAATACTGAGAACATATTTCTATTGTCATGGAGGGAATTTTACAAATAGGATCAAAGTATAGACTAAATAGAGCTTTCAAAAGCGACTGCAGAGCCTACTATTTGCTTGAAATGACATTGTCAAAGAAAACTACCAGTTTAATTGATGCTCTTTTGAATAAGCGGCCTACTGGGACATTTACTTTGGAAATAATCCTTCTCTTTAAGGCAACGACTGGTGGTGGGAGTATGAGGAGGGGATACGACACTACAGCCAGGAGGCCCTCAACAAGGTACTGCCTACGCTGTCATCACTGGTCAACAAACTGTTTTAAACAAATACTTAAAAACAGTTCTCAAGACAGATCATGATCATGTAAACGTCAAACATGGTTTTTGTTTTGTGCTAGAAAGAGGAAGGTACACCTAAGACTAACTACAGCCAAAATGCCTTGTTTGAAGAATTTCCCAGTTTTGTATTTTTATTGAGGGGATAGCTTATTTTGAGAAGCAAGTCACCATAAGTGGAAGACAAACCACAACATGTGCCAACAGGCAGCTTGAAAATGTTTACTCTGTATCTAATTCAAGACATACAGAAAAATGAGATATTAAAGAGAAATGAAGAGAAGGAAAGGGAGAGTCTCCTTATCAAAGCTGTGTCTCTAACAAACTAGCTCTGTAACAGAAGACTGTCCTACATATTCAACCTATATCAACATTGTTTTTGTTTGAAAAGTTTCCTGGCAGCTCTCTCTCTCTCTTGTTTCTTTCTCAGGAGTTTCCAGAGAAAACTCGACCAGTGAGCTTCAAACATCCTGAGTTTCAGTGCCCGGATATGAGTCCATCTCCCTCTGTCCCCTCCTCAGGTCTGTCAAGATCACATCAACACACACCCATAATCCATCTGGTGATAGGGATAAGAGTCTAATCATAATCTCTTTTATATCATCATCATCATCATCTTTCTTTCACCCTTTGCTGTAGTTGAGTATGTGAAGGCGGCAGATATCAAAGTCATCGCAGCCTTAGGGGATTCACTGACAGTAGGATTTATTTTTTGTTTTTTATTCACCTTTTTCTCTGTGTGGAAAGCAAAAGTCTGACCTCCTATATGCCAGTTTATTAAAATTAATAACATTTCAAAAGGCTTAAATGACTGTAACTTACATGATAAAATTACCTCTTTAATTTAAACATACAATATTGAGTTTTTCTTATTTTCAAGAGGTCCAGATCAAATCTTCTTTGGATCTTGTGTCTTTCCTTTTTTCAGACAGCTATAGGAGCCAACGCCACCACTGTGCTCGGGATTCCTATTGAGTTTCGTCATGTGTCATGGAGGTGACAGAAATCATGTTATAAACCAGTCCTTGGTCTTTTGCACATATAATAAACCTGCTGCAGAATCCTAGCATGTGTATACAGCTTATGATTTTATAAGCCTACACCATTTTCAACAATAAGGCACACTTTTTTTCATCCGTAATAACAGTCAAATTTGTTTTTATGAAAGACAAGAATTTCCTCTCTTCATCAACCTGTTTAAGAAATTTTTATGTGTTTGTTTTATTAGTTTTGGTACTTAGACTGTCTTGTTTCAATTTCTTCATTTTTCAGCATTGGAGGCTATGGCTCATTTCAAGAAGTCATTACTTTGGCAAGTAAGATGTTTTAATCACTGAAGATAACTCAGCCATCCTATCACAAATATAATTTCCCCCAATGGTTCTTATTAACAGCATTTAAATTCAGAAATAACACAATCCATTATTCTTACACATTTCTTTCCCAATTGTGCTTTTTATTCTAGACATCATCAAGCTCTTCAATCCCAAACTGCTCGGTGCTGCTCCTGGAAAGACGGTCCACGGGATGCAGGCTCATATCAGTGAAACTGGCTTCAATCTGGCTGTGACTGGACACAACACCTTGTAAGTACTCATCCATGGGACATTACCTGTTTTTGGTTTAATTAAAAATAAATCATTTTGAAAATGTTTTAGCAATATTTATGCTTTTTTTAAACTCATGCTTTGTCTATGTTAGTTATGTGATGCTTAGAAAGAAGTTCTTATTCTCTCTTTCTAGCAACCTCCCTGACCAGACAAGACATTTGATTGACACTCTGAGAGGTTATGAGGTACAGTGATGTCATAAAAGAGTTTATAGAGCTGTTTTTAAACCGCACAACAGCAAATGCTGTCCTTGAGTCAGTTTTGACAGATTCAATTCACATTCTGACATTCTCTGGTGTCCCATCCTTAAGGGTATAAACTTTGAGGAGGACTGGAAGCTCTTGACTATTCTCATGGGCATGAATGACATCTGTGACTACTGCAAAGATAAGGTCACTCTTTTAGTTTAAATAGCATCAGTTCAATAAAAACAGCTTTACACAGAATGAAAAGTATTTATTAATATCTGCAGTCTGCTTTTATCTCTAGGCTCTATTCTCAGTGGATAACTTCATTCACTATATGACCGTGGCCTTGGAAATGCTCATGAATGAGGTAGAGTAAAGGAATTGAGGACACGATTGTGTAAGTGAGCTTTCTGTCTGTTGATGTAATTTACTACAGCCTTAGTGTCTCCTTCATGTTCTACAGGTTCCTCGTATGATTGTTAATGTGGTTCAGATCCTGCCCATGCACACTCTTAGAGAGGTGCAGAAACCCACCCCTGGATGTCTGCTCCAAAGGTGAGCCAAGTTTAAGTAACTTTACATCAACATTAAAGAAATGTTATAGTCCCCATTTCTAATGACGAACGGGAGCATGTTCTGTTATGTGTAAGCCAGCACAGCAATCAGTCTGCATTTTGTTGAGCTAGCTGGGTAATCACTTGAGAGAGATAGATGCATAGCATAGATGAAGGGCTCAAGTGTAAGGTTTGACCATGTCCAGGATGAAGGATGGGCCTGAGCTGCTTGCAGCATTGTACTGTAGGTAAGATTTAGATCTTAGGAGATATTGGTAGCAACAAGAGGAAAGACAAATTTCAGTATCATCTGCCTTAATGTTGTAAGAAAATTAATTTAAATGAAAACATGACCACAAGACTTGATGTTGAGAGAATGAAGAGGACCCAAAACGGAACCCTGAGGGATCCCATAAGTAATGCCAATGTTCAGAAACAAATATAATTTCAATTCAATTGAAAATGACTTTATTGGCCTGGAAAACATGTGTATACATTACTAAAGTAAAAATAACACACAAATTTAAGTACAGTAAAAGAATAACAATAATTAAACATTGAAGAAACAGAGCTGTGCATGATTGTAGTACATAATTATTATCCATCTTTTATATTTTTCTGCCAGAACAAGTTCACACCTTGATTGTTTGAAATTGTTTTCATGAAACATAAAAAGTGTAATCCCCCACCTGCTCTTTTTCTTTTGTTACTTTTATTCAGGTCTTTCTGTTCATGTCTGATTGAGCCAGTTCCCAGGTCTCCTGAACTGCAGGAGATGGTAGAAGTCAATTTGGAGTTCCAGGTATGGTTTAAACAACCCAATTTACAGAACATGCATGCTATCAATGAGGTAAGCAACGTTAGAAATCTTAATTATCATCCCCAGGAACTCTCTTTCTTCATGAAAATAAAAGTAACTGGTTCACAGACCCACAACATTACATTGGTTAAATGTTAAGAAATATTTTTCTTGACAATATAAATCAATAAAAATGGCACTTATATTAATTTTATTTTACATATGTCCACAGAAAAGACTTGAAAAGCTGCTGAACAGCGATCGCTTCTTTAGGGATGACTTTGCAGTCATTCTTCAGCCCTTTCTGAAACACGCTGACCCTCCCCGCCTCCCGGTAATCTATTGTCACTCAACATGCCACAACATTAACAACATGGCAGGAGATGAGTCAGTGTGAAATGACACAAAATAACAATTGAATCATTTAGATCCTAGCTGTGACAGATGCAGCCTTTGGCTTTGTTAACACAAGGCTGAAAATGAGAGAGAAGTCACATTTCACCAACAACCTTTAGTAACGTTGCACTTGTGTATGTTTTCTCTCCCTGAGCAGAGTGGGAAGATAGATATGACCTTCTTCACTCACGACTGCTTCCACTTCACCATAAAGGGACACGAGGAGCTGGCCAAAGGGCTGTGGAACAACATGGTGAGTTAAATGCTTGTATTTAAGTACACAGAAGGTCAAAGGTCAAAGGTCACCTCATTGATGCTCAGGAGGACTCATTGTGTATAGAAATGCCATGGCACTTCGCTCTCTGGGGGCCTGATCTGACCTCACTCTTCACTGCTGTATAAATGCACTATTTGATATGTACTGGCATTATTACCATTTCTTACCATCTGTTAGCACCTTCCTCAGTTAAAGAGACAGGAGGAAGGTTCTTTCATAGTCAGGCTAACAATGACTCTCAATGCAGGAGACATATGCTTAACTACACACAGGTTAAATAGAGCTGTCTTGATGAAATGCTATGGTATTCTTATTTATGCTCAGAAATACAGGAAACACGCAAACAACATCCTGTATACACTGACACTAACAAAACAACCAATAAGAAAAAAAGGGCATTTTAAAAACATAAACAATGAGCTTCACTAACAAAGTCATTGAGTCCAACACAAAGCATGATGGGAAATTATGCATGATTGGTTATCCCTAGAATATCTAATTTTAAACGATATTGTTTAATCTGTATTAAGTCATAAACATATTACCTTATTATCATTATTATAACAATACTGCCTGGTATATAATGATAATTTTTGTATTATATGTTTTTAATTGTATATTGTTGTTATACAATAATCCTATACTCACACTTTAATTATAAGAAAATTGTTTTATTAGTTTCATGATATCATAGTTATTTTATTAATTTATTTTTATTATAACACCTTTTAATGTGTTGATAACTTGAATGAAGTTATATCATTTTAAAGTGATTTATTCAATTGAAACTGATACATTCAATTATGTGCATACACACAATTATTATCACACATACCTGACTTCTATTTTTTCCAGCCATCACCTCCTACATTAAAGTAACACCTCTATGTAGTTGTTTACAATTTTCTTGTCATCTTATCATGAAATCTTACCAGTAAAATAGAGGAAATGTCATGTCTATTCTTCCCATAGTGGGAAAATATGGATTACTCTAAAAGTAAAAAAAAATCCAGAAATCAAATGCTTAGGAAAATAAATCAAACTACACTTTGAATATCTTTTATTCTCAAATAGAAGCACTATTTCTAAAACTCATGACCCGCATGTTTTAACGTGTTACACTTAAGACTGATAATAGTCTGTTTTGTTCTCTCAGTTTCAGCCTGAGGGAGGAAAAATGATTGTGAGCAGTTTCTCTGACCCCATCAGTCTCATCTGTCCTCCTATGGTAGGTTCATGCTTTTACTACACCAGAGCAGCACATATAGTGTGTTTGTTTTAGCCTTAAAGGTTTTATGTATCTCTGATCAAATATCTTCACCCAACAATAAAACGAGAGTTACGTATGTAACTACGGTTCTATGAATTCTGGATGACCGCCAGAGGCAGTTCTTAACACTGACGGAGAACCCTGGCGGTCAGGAAGAATGAAATAGAACAACCTTTCTAAAGAAAAAGTGTGACAATGAGGAAAAAAAAGGCTCTAAGGAAAGAACAGTGTTGATTTATTCAGCCCATTTTTACCCCAAGGGAACACATTGATTCTTACACTTTTTGGTAAAAGAAATGTGTCTCATAGAGATTTCAATCTTTCTTAAGAAACATTTGAATTGTGTGCTAGTATCATGCTTCTTTTACTTTCTGAGTTTATATTTCCAGCTATAAATACATCTGTAGTTTGAGGGGGTTCCAAATCAGTTTTCAGAATATCTAAAATACACGACAAATACTTTAATACTCAGAACTGTTCCCATTCAAGTCCCCTGCAACTGCTTAACTATAAAATAATAATTTGGGTCGGAAAAAAGAAAAATAATGAAATATGAAGAAGAACATGATATATAGATTTTGACCTAATTAAAAGTCTGCAAGTATATTTGTATTTAGTTTTTAAATGAATAAAGCAAAATATATAAAATATTCAAATCCACATAAGTATGATCCTTTACATGCTTTATAATTCACATAACTACGCTCTGCCAATGAAAGGCGTCTGATCCAACCTTCACAACAGGGTCCTAAGTCTTTGACTAGACTCTTCTCCTCTGTCGCCCCCCGGTGGTGGAATGAACTTCAAAACTCCATTCGATCTGCAGAGTCCCTCTGCACCTTTAAGAAAAAGCTAAAGACCCAGCTCTTTCATGAATACCTACTAACTTAATGATGATGGTCTCCATATTATTGATGATGATGATGGTTGTGACGATTGTTTTTGTTTGATAACGATGACATATAAGATGGTTTCTATACTGATTAGAGCTCTCAAAAACTGCTGTCAATGTTGTGCTTTGCCTCTGGTCACTTCCTGTCAGCACCTGTGTGTCTTTGGATAAAAGCGTCTGCTAAGTGAATTGTAGAATTGTAGAATAACAGCACATACTCTCTGTGTGTCATCATCTGTAGGAACATCCGTATATCTTCACCAGACCCATTGCCGCAAACTCAGGCCAGTCTCACCAGCAGTCTGATGCTCGGTCACATGCTGTCACCTTCCTGCTGCTCTTGCTCCATGTGCCTTTGAGATGTCTTGGACTCGTGTAGCTCTCACTCTGATGAACTTTTCACGAATATGTCACCTCCACATTTGCTTCAGATGAGGTGATGAAGTGGATCACTCCCAAAGGCGAGTTTTAGAGCTACCCTCCTGAGTGCCCCTGAGAGCACCGTAGAGGATTTTTTTTTTAAGCTTTAAAGATGAAGAATGATTCCTACATCCCTAATGTCAAATGTTACGTGGCAGTTGGCGGTTTAAATATGAAAGACTTGAAGAATGTGTTTGTGAGAAACTTTTTTTTGAGACTGTTTCTGCTCTTAGCAGAACATTTTCTATATTGATTTAATATTTAAATACACTTTTCCTGGGGCAAGATTACTTTCCTACCCTGACCATACACTAACTGATGTGAGGGTAAGATCTTATGTGTTCCTCCCACAATTGTAATGAAAAGTAAACTTAAGGTGTAAGTTTTAACTACATTTACAGATAAAATGCCCAGATTCATTTTGCATAAAGTCAAACTTTTGAATTGTTAATGTGAAAATTGTACTTACATAATAAAATCATTAAAAATAATGCCAAAAGTGAAGTCCATGTCTGCTAAGTTTTTTTGAAAATGATTTATTAGATGGTCGATTAGTTTCTCATACCTCACCACATCCTGACACTTTTACTGTTTCAGTTTTTGTGGTTAAATAATTTGATATTATAAAGTATGTTTTTATAAGCTAACAGCGAGAAAGGACAGAATTACTAATCACATCAATTACCACATTCAAATTCCTCCTTCGGGGAGAATGACAGAGGTCAGATTCTCCTTTCCACTTTCATGCATAGTCACACAGAGAGACATGGTTCTGGAAAGATCCTTAATGTTTTCAGCTGCAAGATTGAAGTGTTTTTCATTCATATTTCCCACTGTGTGTTTTCAAACCAGACAACTTCGACACATGTCTACCGCTCGGATCTCCAGGCTGCTGATGGCCCACTTTCACTACATGGTCCTTCAATAACTTCATTATTATGCACCGAGCATTAGAAGAAGAAAAGTAAGCCACCATAGGCAAACAATACTGCAAATATTATACATGATACTTGATGCTTAGCAAAGGAGTCATTCTTGTTTATTTGCACACAAATGATCTATATTCAACAAAAGTATTCATGGTATATGATCCCGGACTAAAGAAGATGTTATCCATGTGCTCTCTGGTAAAGAGTAAACAGCACTGCTTGAATGTTCTCTGTTTGATGAGGATAATACACAGGCAGGTGCAGGCTACATTAAGAGTTCAGGTTACTTGGACAGGAACGGTTGTTTAGCACATGAAAAGAACTGAAAGCATACACTACGTACTCAACATGATTTAGCTGAGTTGAAAAGAGCAGAATAGGACTGATCTCTTCAACTTGTATTCAGGTTAACATGTGGCACAGCAAATCCTTATGGATTATAATTATGAAGGGAAGAGGTCCATTTTAATGTTAGCAGAATATTTTCTAGGATTAAAGCTCTGAGATTTTATATATATTTCTATATATTATTTACTTAAATCAACAGCACACTTGAGCACAGCATACAACAGCACATGTGTCCCCATTTCCACCATTTCTCTTGGATGTTGCAGTGCAATAGAATTTAATCAGTCCTCAAAGCCCTTGGCTTTTATAAAACCCTTCATTATTGCATCCAAGGAAAAACTCTATTCATGTTTAAACAAAGCCTTTGCTGGTTTATGTGGAACAAATATGGATGTGACGCAAATTGGTCTTTATTGTGTCTCTGCGAGCATAATGAGATCTTTGGGATCTCAGTGGACGGTGGCGTAGGAAATTTGAAACAACAAACAGTCCAGCCCATCATGAGGAAACATCTTTGTCTTTTTTATATGATTGTGTCTGTAACAAAAGAGAAAATGTACCTTATAGAGACTTAGCACTTAGGAGTGCAAACAGTTTTACAATTAAAACATGTATTTCTTAGGGGAAAAAACCCATTTATGTAAGCAAACAGTTACTCTGTACATTTCTTTTCATTCCACCAACTAAAAACATAATTATAAATCTCTGACTGTCACAGCTGTTAATTGACCTAACATGCATTTTCTGCTGTATTCAATTAAGGCCAATAATTAAATATCTTACAATAAAAAACACCACCATCAAATTTTAGAATAAGGGGCCCACACTTGCCTAGTGGTTAGTGTGCAGTCCTTATGTAGGAGGCTCTAGTCTTCCAAGTGGGAAATCCAGGTTTTTAATTCCTCTTTTTCCACTGTCCTATCTTTAAATAAAAACACAAAAAAGCAGATTGAAACCTTAAAATATGTTTCTGTGCATGAAGTTGTGTCTGACCAAACAGAGCAGGGTTTTCTGTATATTACATCAAATGCTGGATTCTTGTATTGCTTATCAGCCATTAGTTTGTGTACTCACATACAGGGCTTTCATTTATTTTCATTTATTTCATTTTATTTGTAAAGGCAGCATGAACAATATTAAACACAAATGATGCCATTTGATGTATTGTACCAGTCAGCTTAAAGCTTACATCTGCAGTCCCATATTATTATGGCATACACAGCATACATTTTAATCAGAAAAGAAGGGTTTATTCACTTCATAGCCTTAGATTACGTGTAAAAAGGTCTGTTAATGTGTGTTCTCACCAGATTCAGATCACCTGCTTACATAATCAAAGTGGGCACTGAAACTACCATGAGAGCAGTCATCTTTCAATAACCTGTCACCTAGCAACACTTTCATTGGGTCAAGAGACATGATCAGAGAGAGAAACCAGCAGGATGGAGGAAAAAAAATCATAAAACCTGTACTTTTGAAAATGTATATAGTCAGATATTATATAATAATATCGCCTACACGTAATTCAATACAAAAGGAGCTAAAATTTCAAATTGAATACGGTCTAAACATGAGCCATGATATCCATTACTAATAGTCCTAACCTGTTCAAGCCCTGACAACCGCCGTGGTACGTTCAGGTACAATAAATCTACAGTAGTAGGCTAATCATTTGTCCGCGGATGATGTCACTTCCTCGCTACATCTCGTCCTATAAAAGCGCGTGCTGTTGCGGTGAGGTGTCGGTGAAGAGACCGGAGAGGACGATGCAGCAGGAGATTAAGCTCTCCAGAAATACTAAAAGGCGGTTAAGTTTGGTTCAGAATGCTTCCGTAACCCACCGACTTTTCTTTTGAAGTGGTGAAATCAAAAACCTTCTGATAAAAGCTTCGCTTTTTTTTTTCTATTCCTGGAGAGCTCGTGTCAAAAAAAAAAAAAAAATGATCGGGAGAGGACTGTTCATCCTGACAATACTGTCAAACTGCGGTGAGGAAAAGAGTCTTATTTAAGTTTATTTGTTATCTCTGTGCTATCAGTTTGCTGAGAGAAACCTGCATTAAGGGATGTAACTGCCTTGTTTCAGCACCAAGGACAGCGACAAACACGTCTTAAAATTGAGCTGCACCTTTGGCACATTCAGTCCCTTGTTACTAAAGCAGTGTGTTTGAGTAGCAGAGAGAATAACATCAGAGCTACTGGGATTAGAACGAGGTACGGCAGATAATGATGGGGGAGATTACATCCTTTTTCTTTCTTCTCTTGCAGTTCTGTCATTGCCAGTGACTCCAAGTCAGCTGGAGAATGAGGACGCACAGGTAAACATTTTATAACTATATGCCATATCTACATGTTTTTATGTCAATGTTAGTTGTGAGAAACGCTGTAGTTTAAAGTAACCTCCAACTGCTGAAGAGACTGTCTAGTCCCTCTACTTTCCAAGCAGTGAATAAAAATACTTAATCCAAACAATTTAACTCACATAAATTCCTTCTCCACTGGGGGCAATCTCATTGTGACCTTGTAGCAATCAATAAATCCCATATTGAGAGCAATGGACAGATTTGGTAGTACAAGATTCATTTCACAACTTGATGGAGAGAAAGAGACAGAGAGAGAGCGAGAGAGAGACAGACAGAGAGAGAGAGATAGAGAGAGAGAGGGTAGATTCCTATAGTTGGATTTGAAGACTTGGGAATATAGCTGAGAGATGTGACAGCGCATAAAAGAGTGATGAGAGTTGTGCGATGGGACTATTTATGTTCAAAGATCTGGCAGGCATGACAAATAATATGAGAGAAAAATCATCAGGGATGCAGCATTGGCTTGAAATTAAAAGCACAATGGGAGTTGAAATTATTTTTGATCTCTCATCTAAGACACTCATATCTTTGAATTAGTGAGCGAGCAAGCACATGGGCTCTCTTCAAAGAGAAGCAAATGAATTTTAATCTACAAAACTGAGTTAGATGCAAGATGCTTTACTTATTCTGAGAGTAGCATCATCTTAGTTTACATCAACATCAGTGACCAAAGAGGCAATTTTAACACTGTTTTTATCTTCTGAGGCATACTCCAGGCATATATCTGACTGTAGCAGGTAAGGTTTGGTGAGTCATGTTATGCTCGCTCTGTTTTCAGGTAATGAAATGCATCGTGGAGGCGTTGGCTGACGTACTATCAAGGCCCCACCCCAATCCTGTCAGTCAGGAGTGTTTGGTCACACTGAGGACAGGTGAGTCTCGACCAGAGGATTACAGCTACTGTGGGTGCCATATAACCTGGATCACAAAGCTGAAGCCCTGACAGGCCTATGACAAAGACACAAGAACAGGAAGTTAATATAAAACACAACATACTGCTATAGCAGTGAGAGTCTGACAAGCCATGTTATAAATAATGATATTTGTGAATTCGTTTAAATTGATCATTTTTCATTCAAATTAATTGAAAATTAACATTTTAATTTAAAACATTGCAGTGGTGGGATTTTACATGTAAATGGACTTGGACTTGTAAAGCGCTTTTCTAGTCTTGTGACCTCTCAAAGCTCTTTTTACACTCCATGTCCCATTCACATCAGAAACTCAATCCTATACAATAACTGAATTGAATTGAATTGATTATATTTAATAGAGACGATGCAATTTAACATAGTTTCAATACAAAATAACTGATTTACTGCACAGAAAATTTGAATCTACTTATTTCCAACTCTTGTCCCTATTTTGGTCTTTGGTTAAAATATACAACATTCAGTTACATTAAATCACACAGTATAACAATAAAAAATTCTATAAACCAACGTAAACAGAATGTTAATGTAAATTTTACAATAAACGATATTTCTCAGCTCTGCCCCTTGAAGCTTTTATTCAAAACTTTTTTAAAGCTACTTTTTCAATCAAAAGATGATGCAATACTCTGATTTATTTTCTGTAATGTCCTTTTTGAATAACCTACTTACAGTTATTACGTTATGTTTAGACATGATATAATAACCATAAAGATTTGGGCAAAGAACACATAGGCTGTGATTTGATTTGTAAGGTGTTAGAAGAGCTTAAAAACATTGAATGAAGTAAACCTGTAACATGAATTTAAAATGTGCAATTGTTTAAAATTTGACAACCTAAGCCTTTTTCATATTCATCATTATTATCATCATCAACATTAATGTCTACATTCTTCTAGCAACTTGCTAATAACCCCTCTCTGGAATAACAACACCTCCCTAAGAGAACCAATAAGTACTCTCCTTCTTTATCGACAGCAAAGACTAAAAATCATAAGGTTAATGGATTTATGCAATGGCTGCTGGGTATAAAAAATGCTCGGTTATATACAGCAGGGCAGAGGCTGTTCAGAGGCTGTTCAGCAGATGCTATTCAGTTACATAGCAAGTGTATTACCTTGAAGCCGTCCTTGTTGTAAAATCAATCAGAGCATTACTCACTGAGTGTTTGTTACTGAGAGAGAGGGAAACTGTACACCACCAGCGGGATGAAAAGAGAGACAAGGAGAGGATAGAGGGGGAGTCAAAGTCAAAGAGAGAAAGGGGACAAAAGAAGGAGACTGCAAGGAAAGAAGAAAGATCACGTACTGATATTACAGACCAGTAGTTGTCTTTTTTGTTGCTTGCTGAGTACAGTATGCAGTGCCGTTTGTGGGTCAGCAGAAAGTCCAGTGCTCACTGCTGCGGGGAGTCTCTGTGGGCCAAATGATTAATCGTGTTCGTGCTTTGAAAGCAGTAAATTTCAGGGCTATTAACTGTGACCATCCAAATTGCTGAGTCCTTTTAAAAAAAAAGAAAGGTGAATGGGAAAGATGTATACTTGTGTTTTACCCCCTGCAAGATCCCATTATCACATTTTTGCCCTTTTAATCTCTCTGCATTGACGATTATTCAAATGGTGGGAAGCTGAAATGCCGTTATACCGCTGTGTTCCAGGTTGTGTGTTTTATAAATGTAGTGAATCTGATTATTTATTATCATTCCCTTATTGACCACCAACTTAAAAGACAGGATAAAGACAATCTTGTAGGGCCTCAGGCCAATAAGTTTAAGCAATATAGAACTATTTGATACCTTATTAGCGACCATCGGAAAAAAGCTAACATTAACATTCAACCACTTCTTAGCTAGCACTTATTCTATAAAGGGTTTGACTATCCAAGAGGAGGGGCCTAAATTCTTTCCTTACAGCAGCGTTAGCTAGGAATTTACGCTTTTCCTATTGTCTACTCTTATGGCAAGCTAATGTGTTAGCATAGCCTAGATGGTAAGCAAGCTAACACAGTAACACTGAAGTAGCTTACAGTAATGTATGTGAGCTAGAAATGTACGCCTTTTCTATTGAATAGTGGAGGTATAACATACAGTCATGCTAACCAGGTAGCTAAAGCTAGCTGATGTCTATATTAGCGTTGCAATTTATTTTGACCCCTCATTAACGACTTGAAATATGGGCTCTTATCCCTGAAGATTTTCACTCTCCATTGTTTATCAATCTGGAAGCAGGAAACTAATCATTACTTTCAACCTGGTTACAACCTGGAATCAAAGCAATACATTATTAAATCATCTGAGCCTCCAACCCTGAGTTGATGACAGAGAAAAATAGCTATTTTCACCATGTGAATATGGTAAACTGAACACCTTGTTTGTATTAATTTTGCTATGTTTTTTATGTGCGTGTTTTAATGCAGATGACAGACTGGTTTCTATTCTTCGCCATCATAACTTTCTAAAGGAGCTGCAGGAGATTGCTGTTCAAGGTGAGTCACAGACCTTATACAGGCGATGTCTGTTTACTGTACATGCTTGTTTACATTCTGATGATGAAAATAATAATTCATTGTGATTTTTAGGGGGTCATGACAGAGCTCAGCTGCAGAGAGAGGCTACTACACCTGCTTCAGCAACACAGAGTCTTCAGTCTTCAAGTGATTTTGCTGGTAAGTTTCTTCAGTCTTTAGTGGTTCAAATACCTAAAAACACAGTCTGCACATTCCTTGCATAGTTTATTTTTTTAAGGATACTTCCATTATTTCAGATATTATTGTACCAGCGAAGCAGGTCTGAAAAAAGTGGAGATATGCTCATGTTCTTTATGGGGATAATCAGGCCATACACAAGGTCCTTTAAAGTCAGTGCAGGAATTTCTGCATCGCATAAAGTTGAGGTAATAATGCAAAAACATGTGGAGCAGAGAAGAAAAGGTGAATTTCCATTGGTCCATGGTATATCTGAGCTCTTCGAGAAACTAAACAATTGTGAAATTATCTGAAATAAATTAAGGCATATAATTAAGGCTGCATCTAAGGATTAATGAACAGTAAGTAGATGATGAAAACATACATTTCATTATTATGACAGAGTACAACTCATATCTCATTATCTTACAGGTAAAAAACAGGGAAAGAAGAAAACATTCTAAATTCAGAGCCTAGGACCATTCCTTCAAAGCATTTGTTATGGAAAAAACATTGTTATGCATTTTTGATGAGAGAAAACGAACATGTCTAGAATAATGCTCATGTGCAATAAGGCACATCACATTTTACATGCTGACCCAATACATGGGTTACATTTTTTACGGTTAAACTCAGTTAATGTCTGTGCTTTTGTGTAAGCACCTTCCTTATACATCACTGAAAAATCAATGACTTCTAGTAAATTAAATTTCTCCCCCTCCCTAGCGATTTCAGATCGATCCATGTTGGAAGCTTTAGGAGGCCCTGGTGAGAGATCCATCCTGTCTCAGAAAAAGAGGACAGGACATGTTGACAGAGGGGAAGAAAAGGATGAAAGCTTGGAGGATGGAGAGCCACAGGAGGACAATAACACCGGTGAAGAGGTGCAAGTGAAGAGGGAAGATGATGAGAGCCCTGGTAGTCATGCCTCTGAGGATGAGTGGAGTGAGGGAAAGCCTGGAAAGAGGGAGGAGAAAGAGGAAGAGAGTGATTTAAATTCAAACGAGAAATCAGAGGAAAGAAACATGGCCAAGGAAAAAAAAGGCAAGTGTATCTTTTTTTTTTCACACATGTCTGCCTATTGTTTGAAATCTTAGTTATAGTTAAAGGAAAACACCAGAGAAATGAATACAAATATGGGCATTAATATTCAAGACAACCGGCAGGTCATATTTTTCATTTTTTAATTAAAATATTGAATCAAGTTGAGCAAAGGCAGACGGCAAAGTCTTAAGATAGGGAGAGCGCAAAAAGATAAATGGCCTTTGCAGATAAAACAGTCTGCCACCACGACTGGGTGATTGATTGAAGTGCCTCCATCTATATGATGAGTCCGCCCGCCCCACAGTGAAGCTGGGCCAACATAACTGGCAAACTGACAGCACACCAAGAGAAAGGATTAAATGTGTAAATGTACCAGAATACAAATAAGCTAGTACATTGTCCCTGTCGGAATAACGGGAGTCATCCTGTATACACAGGTTTCAATTTTCAACAACATAGGAAGTCATTGGTGAGGGTTATTTAAAAAAAAAATTTTTTAGGGTATTTATATCTTTGTAGGAACTGAATATTTTTCTTTTAATGATAGGAAAACAAAGGAAATATAGCACAGGAGGGGCTGTTCATAGGATGTTAAACTGAGCTGAATCACTTACCATAATCTCAAACTTTAGATCAAAATTGCAATTAAGAGTTTGACTTTTCTGTCTCCAGACCTCTTAACAGATCGATGATTTTTATAGCTGAAATAGCAGAGCACAATGAAATATGCAAACCTGCTCTACTAAAGGGAGCTTCAGTCATCTTGTTGCTCTGGCCGTGCTGTCAACTCCCATAAAGCACAGCTAGCAATACAGTGAATGAAGCTGCCAGCTGGCACCAAATATTTAATTACAAGAAGTGGATTCTTGCTGATGGTGGAGAATATTCTGTCGCTGGACCTGTGGATATGTTTCAGTTCAAATATAATAGAAAAATTTCCTTTTTCTTTTCTGTATTTCCAGGTGCAAGGTTGGATGAAAGGAGAGATGCTCACAGAAACAAGTCAAAAGAGAAGAAGTTGGATGAAGAAGAGAAAGATAAGAGGGCTGTGTTTTCCTCCCATAAACAAGAGCAGAAACATCCTGGAGAGGAAGAAGAAGAGGAGACAAAGAGAGGGAATATAGAGAGCATGAAGCGATGGACCAAGAGAGGGAAGGCCTTGTCACTGCAGAAAAAAGCAGCCAAAAAGGATGTACAGCAGCTCAACAGCCAGGAAGAAGTGCTACATCATTCGAAAGAGGTGCCAGAAGAAGTGGAGGAGAAGAAAAAAAGAAACACACAGAGGAGTCCAGAGGAGAAGGAGCTACAGATGATCGCCAGAAGCGGAGCTGAGGAGAGGAGGGGGTCGGAGGAAGAGGGGAGCGCCAGCCGGAAGACAGAGGTGAGCTATCAATCTACTGAGATTGTAACAATAGTTCAACTTTGTGGAGTAGTTTTTCTCTATTTTTCTTGAACTAGATCATTTGACTGTAAGGTAAATATAAAGAAAAAGCTGAAGCACATTAGCTTAACTTAGCATATTTACATAACGAATGGAAACGGGGGGAACAGCTAGCCTGGATCTATCCAAGAGTAACAAAGCTTTCCCCATTTAGGCAAACTAATTAATCATAGGCTGTTTTTAAGAAGAGGACAGAGCTGTTTGGTTACAAAAGTAAAGCCAGTGCAGAAGTACCTTAAACCTGTGTTCTTTCTAATGGCCAGCAGGGAGAAACTAAGCCTTAGTAAACTAATGTATACTGTTTGAAACCAAGGGGTTACTGAATTGCTCTTTCTAAGTCTTCTTTCATTAAGTGTTAGTTTTGTTTTGTTTTTTGGCTGCCACATTTTAGTAAAATTAATGATACCAGGGTTTGTTGTAGGGCATTGCTATATGTTTTTGGCATGCCGTTACCTCCCGTTCTGTCAAATAGGACAAAAATATAACAATAATTATATACCCTGTTGCCATCATATGGTCCTCTATGGCTTCAACAAATAAACAAAGGTGACATCATTTTTCCTAGTTACTATTTTTCTTTTAGGATACTGAGTTAGGCCTCTGTTTTTCTTTAAAAAACGATGAGGCAGAGTCCGTACTACGGCTGGAATCCCATCAACATGCAAATAAAGCAGCTGCTGCTTGGCAACATGTTTAAAGGCATCCACTAAGACGTGATAGCTTTACTGGCCATACACGGTTTCACAGTAGTTCTAACATGAGGATAATAGAGGTCATTTTGTTCATAATGTGTACCTGCTTACAGCTAAAACAGTTTTAAAACAATCAGTATAAAAAAACATTTGTCTATAAGCAGCCTCTCTCTCTTGCTGTTCTCTCATTATATCTGCAGGAACCAGAGATTGAGAGCCTGGCAGCCATCGAGTCAGAGCTCGAAAATGTTGCCCAGAAACTCCACGAGCTGCGACGAGGCTGAACAAGAGATCGGAAGAAAACTTGACATGGCAACCTCCTCTGCCTCTTTCTCCTCCTCCGCTTTACCAGCTGCCTGGTTTCCACAGATAGAGCTTGTGAATATGTGACAAGATTTTATCTTTTGCTTTTTTTCTGGAAGATGCCCTCTGGCACCAAACTGCTCCGGCCTCCCTTGTGACATCCTGTCCTCTACATAGATTAGTAAACAGTAGATGCACATTGAAACTAAACATGCAAACTGAAAACAAAGAACTTCTGGAAGTTCAGTTACTCGCATAAAAAATTCAGAAGACATAGCAAGGGTCCTCAAGAAAAAAACATTTCTGTCAGTGAAGGTTGACAGCTTGTTTTCCTCTTTTTCTCTCTGACAATCACCTCCTCTGTTTATAAAATGTGTCTTGCCTGCTTAAAAATCATTTTAACACTGAAGTCTATCCAGATATACACAATCCAACAAGGTGGGGTTCTACGATAAAGCATGTATACATGTACAAAGACTTTCTGTTCGGCTTAGGTAAGCAGTAGAAGACATAGACGCTCGCTACTGCAGATACAGTTGGCTTGAATAAAGTCAAGGCAATAATTGAACATGTTTAGCAGTTAATAGCTGGATTGTAATTTTAATCCGTGATTAATTTATGTAAAAAATAATAATAAATTGATTTGAGTTTATCTGGAAATCTCTGTCTCATAAAATCTTTGAATGCTTAGAAACTTAATATTTGTATAAGGGAACAGGTTTCATGAAATGTGCTAAAGCTGTTTTATGTGTTTTATCCAGTAAATTTAGCACATAAGTAGCCCTCAAATTAGACATGTTAACGTGGTAAAGACATGAATTACTGGACTTCATGTAAAGGTCACATATTATACTCCTTTTCAATCGTTAAAGTCTCAGAGCTCCCTAAAAAAAACATTGGAGACACAAATGAAGTATCTTGTTAAATATCCACTCTGATCCTGTATTTGATCATGTTTATAAACCCCTCTATTCCAGCCCTGCTCAGAACAGGCTGTTTCTGTGTCTGGTGCTTTCAATGCAAATGAGCTGTGTCTGACCACACCCTTCTCTGGAGGGGCTTTGGTGGCTCAGCCTTTCTGCACCATGCTCTATTGTTCACGGTGGGAAGGCAGATCAAACACCTAGCTGTGGGAGTGTTACCCACCTGGAGGAGGGGTTACTGCCATTTGTGATGTCACAAAGGGGAAATCTCCAAGCGGCCTGTTTGAGCACACATTTTCTGGTAAAAGATGCAGAGTATAGACTTTTCTCATAATTGGGGGTTTTGTAGACAGACTAGGGACAATATGAATGTTAGAAAAACATGGTAAAGTGTATTTTGCATAATATGTGACCTCTAATGCTTTATAATATGTTTTATTCCCACTGTTTTTACTCATACCGTCCACATGGGCTTAGTCTCTGACTGCAAGTAAACATTTATTATTATTGTAGATGCAGTCTGCACATTTAATGCTAGTGTCTGTGGGCGAAGGAGCCAGGAACATGAATCATCACTCTGACATACAAGCTGTTTCATTCCATTCCAAGACATTCACACTCTAACCTTTAGTTTGGCTTCAGCATTACATTGTTCTTCAGTTGTTACTATTAAGAAGAAGAACCAGACAAGTGAGATGTTCACAGTTTTCTACATATCTGCTCTACGAATCTGTGAGCAGCAGAAACTGAAAAGACACAAATTTAGAATACTGAAAGAATGAATAGAAACTGAGAATGAAAGGGGTTTTCTTTCTTTGGCAGCTTGTAGATACAGCTGAGTTATGAAACTGTGTCTGCATTTTTTCCATCCAGCATCAATATGCAAATATAGTCATAAAACGCCTGAATACCAGGACAGCATTTGAAATTCATGAAGTTTCTCCCTGTATGAGAAGCTCAGTATAAAACCCAAATATTTGAAGGTGGTTAAAAACAAGTATGAAACATAGGAAGAGAGAACAAAAGCACCATTTCAATTGCCCCCCAGGGAGAAGTTTTTTTAATTGGATTGAACCATTTAAGATACACAATAAGACACACAACTTGCTAGAGAAGTCACACTTAAAGTATTCTGTAACAAAACATCAAGCTGTTTGACAGGACAGACAATTTCACAGAAGATCGCTTGTGAATGATTTGTGAAATTTAATGAATCTGTTGCAACAACCAACCACCCTTCTAAGCATGTAGTAAACCTATGATGTCCACAACACTTGCAATTAACAGGAAAGGCTCAAGTTGAGCCAGTGTCTGTTTTGTCCATTCTGGGCTCCTGTAGAAAGTGTTGCTTTGCAACATTGTGCGCTCAGTGGACAATTTTGCACTACCTCTGTAGATATTCTCAGCTCTAAGAGGAAAAGAGGAAAGAAACAACACTCCTCATGTTAAGCTTAAATGCACTAATGAAAACACACTGCATTGGATTTAAAATCTATTTCTTAAAGAACACACTGGTTGTTTAAGTAGAATGTAAATAGATGCCAAACAAGTGAATAGTGTTCATGACAACAAAATGAAAAGGGCACCAGATGGCAGCATTGAGATAGACTTTCTTTTCCCAAATTGTGTGGCAACACCTAAGGGGATTTGAAGTGGCAGCTTGGTGACCCTGCAACATTGACATTTTATTCTCCTGGGCCTGGATTTATTTCTTTAATTCATTTTTTTCTTTGTATAAAGTAGAGACAAACCAGCAAGAATGCCTTACCATAACCATGCGTTTTAACAATACTCTGGTTGTTTCTGTGTGATTACAAAATAAAAACTACATAAACAAGCAGGACAACATCAATCTGAGAAATTAAATATGAAACAAACATTTAAAAAATCACTGCATAAAAACTGAAGAGCTCACATGATGGTTTATCCTCTTTCCTCCTCTGCTGCAGATCTGATGTAACCACTGAACAAGTTTATTTATCTTCCTCTGGCTCTAACAGAATGATAATTGAGTTCATTATTAATAAATACCTGCTGTGTTTGATATGTCAACATGAATAAATGATGCCCCAGTTATGCAGACAACAAACATGCGACCCCTGTGTATGCTGTGTCAATGATGTTAGTGAATAGTTCATTTATTTCAATTTTTTTCAGTCGATGTTTACATCAAACACTCATCAGTGAACTCATATTTTAAGAAAAAAAGTCAGAGAAGTCGTGTTTGTATAAAAAATATATAACATTTTATTTTCAGCTACAAGAAAAACATGTAACATTGTTGTCACACTTCTCAATAAAATAGTAAAAAATACACTATCGATACATTTTGAAGCACAGAACAAATTTGGCTTTTAAATTAACTTAAACTGTACAAATATATACATAATTTACACACCGACAATAAAAAAGGAATGAAATCATTCTTCCAGTCTTTTTCTTCTATTTCTGTACAAAACAGACACCGTTCCTTGGTTTCCTCCTGACCTGAATCAGTAAAAGTCAGTATGTCTTTTTTTTTCTTTCTCAGTGCCATTGCCATGCCCACTGTGTCATTTCTAACCCTTAACTCAGCAAGCTGCTCACTTTCTCATCCACATGCTGGGCGGAAACTCTGACCTTTCCTCTACTCTGAGAGCAGAGACAAGGCTGACATTCAGGCTTGTGCTAACATACATACACATACAAAAACACACACACAAGGACACATTCAGACCTATTTGGACAGGGGAACACTGGCCCGCTTTGGTTTGCGTGCTCCGTCTACAGCTGCTTAGAGTTTGTAGGTCTGGTCTGGGCTGGGAGGGTGGGAGGGAGGGAGGGAGTGGGAGTTATTAAACACCTCATTTAGAGAGGGTGTCATGGTTTAGATAAGGTACAGAGACACATACAGTACAATGGACGGGTCTGTAAAGGGTATCGAGAGGGGGAATGGGCGGAAACCTGACAGTAGGTTCGTCAAACATACAAGTTATAGTGCAGGAATCTCTTGGAGCTGCTATGCAACCCTCTGTCTGAGTCTATGCGGCTGATGTCAGCCAAACGAAACACACAGACACTTACACAAGTGTCTTGACTACTTTTAAAATGAGAAAATGAGAAAATTAAACATTAAACATATATACTGAGCTGCAAAATGAGATGGAGTTCTGTTTGTTTTCAAGTCTTAAGCTGCGATTGTCCTTGAGTGGCTTTTCATGCCATGTCTCCCATCATCTTCTTGTAGTACATGGACTCGAAAATGTCGTTCTCCCCGGGGCAGTTGTGGTGGCAGGCGCAGGACTTGATGAACATCATGTGTTTCTTCATAACCTGTCCGTCAGGGCATTTGAACTCCATGGGCAGGGTGGTGGTTCTGTGTGGGGTGCAGCAGCGGCCGTCCAGGCATACGCCGCAGAACTTGGGCCTGTAGGACTTGGTTGTGGTGCAGCCAGAGATCTCAAACTTCATTGGCTTGGAGAGCCTGGGAGTGCGGATGCATTTCTTTCCTTTCTGCAGGAGGAAATTGGAGAAAAAAGATTATTAAGCATCCTTTGGTTGTTATTATCCATTACTATGGCTTAAGAGTTCTTTAAAGAAGTGGTCCTCAACAAACACTCACCCTGATGCTCTGCTCCAGCTGTGACTCGCATGGTCGCACCATACACAGCCGGGTCTGTTTCTCCAGGCGGCATTCACGGTTATCGTTGGTGACCCTGGTGGAGATCCCAAGGCCACAAGTCTTTGAGCAGGCACTCCATTCGGTCGTCTGAACCAGGCAGTTCTCCCTCATCATGGAGGGATCTGGGCCATAGGTCTCCTCCTCTCTGTAGGCTGTAACATAGGAGCAAACACCAGATTAGAAGGACTATCCAGATTATAGCACATTTCCAAAAAGCTACCTCTAGATGCAGAAATAGAGACTAGCTTACCAGCCAAAGCAGAGCCCATGAAGCTGTGTCTGTTGGGAGAATCACACTCCCACTCTTCGCAGCACTTCCCAGGGACCTTGACCCGTCTTGGCATGGGGCAGTCAGGGCTGGGAAGGCGGATGTCCATGGAGCAAAGAGGCACGCAACCCAGAGCTCCGTCTAAACAGGTACACTGGTACTTGCAGCTGCTTTGGAAGGACTCTCCGCTCTTGTACACCATGCCTCCGAACACGCAGGTGGCTCCATCGCGAGCTGTGGAGGGAAAGAACAAAGGAAAAGGTCATGATTTGGTTCTTAGATCAGGGATGTTAATGGCACTTCTGAAATAATACCAAAAGGTGATTTTTTTTTAATGTCTCACCTGTGCAAACTCCTATGCGTCTGTTAATGGGGGCTCCGAAGTCACAGTTGAGGCCTTTGTGGGGGTCACAGACGTCTTTCTCTGTGCACAGCTCCCCCATCTGTTTTGCACACACCCTGCAGCATCCACAGCCGTCCAGCACCAGGCTCACTCCTGGGGCGCACTGAGGGGGGGTGGAGGGGCACGAACACTGGCTGCTGCACTCCTGACCTGCAGCCTGAACACAAGACGAGCAGAGACGCATGCTCAGTTACATATTATCTCTACAAAAGTGTGTTAAAGCTGAACATCCAGCACGTGGAGAACACAATGTCCTTTAACATTATGTCACGGCATCACACAAAGATTTTAAGCATACACCACAAAAGTATGAAGTTAAATTTGTTTTTGACTTACCATGTTTGAGAGCATGATGCACAGGATAGGCAGTAAAATCATCGTCTTCATCCCAGCAGTCATCTTTTCTTCCTTGGAGAAATAGATTCTAGTTTTCCTTAAGTTTCGTAGAAAAAGTCTTCCTTTAGTCTCAGAGTTTGAGCTTGAGAAACCTCTCCTGATCAAGTTGATCTCTAGTCTGGTTTCTTCTTATAGCGTTTCTTCGCTGCTCCGGTCACAGTCTGTCCTTTCTGTCTTAGTGAAAGCTAGAGTTTAGCTTCAGTAGAGGAGTTGATCTGAGTTCTGACTGCACAGAGAAGCTCCTTTTATACCCGCTGGCCCTCTGAGCACGTCACTGGGGGCTGAATGGAGAGCCAGCCCTGGACAAACATGGACATGCTTGGCATTCTTTCCTCGCTTCCTGACCCCCACTCCAGACATCCCACATTCCTGCTGTCTGAAGGCAAAGCTCTGCTGCTTGGGCCAAACAACACTGTCTCTCTCAGTGCAGCTTTCATCTGGAAGGGGAGGTTTAGTCTGGTTAGAGGCTTGGGACCCCACACTGGGAATTCCTGAAGACTGACTTCACAAACAGACAGCCGGTACCTATAAATATTATTTCAAAAAAAGAAAAAAAAGGGAAGAACAGAAAACATCTTCACTTGAAAGAGGAAGAACAGTTAAGAACAAAACAAGTAGATGCTCATAAAAATGCATCAATGTACAATAATTAAGTAAACCGCTTGATTTATAACGAGTAGTTAAGACTTTAAGCCCACAACAGCATTCCTCAGCTTTTGTTCAAAGGCGCACATGCAGGCTCTGCTTTGGTAAATTAGCTTCACGCTGTAAGGAAAAGGAAATACATTTGAGTCATTAACTTGAGCTGATTATCTATCAAGTTCCTGAACACAGACTTGGCAGCCACTGCAGTCTTCAGTACTCATGTGGTTTTATCTGCGACACTGCAGCTGCATTTTTGTGCTCTGACATCAGTAGCTGAAGTGCAACTCTCAGCAGTTCACATAAAAATAATATTACAAGGACATTATGATCTGTTATGTATGACAAGAGCAGTATGATCAGAATTAATTAATCCAATCCTATTTATAATGCCAGTGAATATCTGCCCAAATTAACCAAAGAACATATTTAACCCAACCATCACAAAACCCATCACAAGACCCATAATAAGAACCATCATAGGAACCATCATAAGGTACATCATAAGAACCGTTATAAGAACCATCCTAAGAACCATCATAAGAACCATCATAAGGTACATAATAAGAACCATCATAGGAACCATCATCAGAACCATCATAAGAACCACCATAAGGTACATCATAAGGACCATCCTAAGAACCATCATAAGAACCATCATAAGAACCATCATAAGGTACATAATAAGAACTATCATAGGAACCATCATCAGAACCATCATAGGAACCATCATAAGAACCATCATAAGGACTATCATAAGAACCGTCATGAGACCCATAAGAACCATCATAAGAACCAGTATAAGTCCCATCATAAGAACCGCCATGAGACCCATAAGAACCATCATAAGAACCAATATAAGAACCATCATAGGAACCATCATAAGAACCATCATAAGGACCATCATAAGAACCGTCATGAGACCCATAAGAACCATCATAAGAACCAGTATAAGTCCCATCATAAGAACCGTCATGAGACCCATAAGAACCATCATAAGAACCAATATAAGAACTATCATAAGACCCATCATAAGAACCAGTATAAGTCCCATAATAATAACCATCATAAGAACAAGTATAAGTCCCATCATAAGAACAAGTATAATAACCATCTTAAGAACCGTCATGAGAACCCAAACAACACAAGCTGCTGAGAGGTCACAACCAGCTGAAACCCAAAGACTTAAAATGATGTAAAACACTAAGACCTTAAAGAAAATAAAAACAGATACAGTAACAGCAATAAAAAGGTAAAAGAAGTAAAGAGGTGAGAGCAATAGAAACACATACATATTAATAATAATATTAAAAATAGATAAAGTTAGTAAGATAAAGCATTACTAAATAAGAACATTAAACCCATAAGAGCAATCAAAGGGAATAAAACAGTAACTTGAGCTAAAAGCATAAATAAAGAGACAGTACAAACAACAAAAGGGAATCAGAGCCTGTAAAATGCAACTAACAGGAAGCCAATGTAGGGAAGCAAAAATTGGGGGTGTTGTAATGTCATCTTTTAAAACCAGTAAGAAGCCTAGCTGCTGCATTTTGGACTAGCTGGAGGCGAGACACTGATTGATGATTCTGGAGGAGGGAGTTATCAAGTAATAATCAAGTTGGGAGAAAATGAAGGTGTGGAGGATTTTTTCAATTTCTGGCACTTGAGCATTGTTTTAATTTTGGAGATGGTGTGTAGATGGAATAAGCATGATTGTACAACTGTTTTTATGTGCGGTTCAAAGGTGAGGTTGCGATCAAATGTTATTCCAAATATTCCTTTGGTTTTTCCAAAAATGCAAGAATGACCAATGTAACTTGTTGATTGCAATAATAAGGCTTCAGCATCAAATAATACTCGCTTCATTCAGATTTCCTTTGATGCAACAAAGTAACCAATGTCATTAGACATGGCAGTAAATTTGAAACTCTTATAACTCACAGATTTGGCATATTGTTGTAAAAATATGTTGGCTACATTTCTGTTGGATACTGCATGATGATCCTGATGGTCTCATTCCTCAGTTACCTGAGCTGAATGTACTGCCAAGGTATGCAGGACAGAGACTAATGTGTTCAGGTAATGGCACTACCCAAAAATCGTTTATTGATTTGAGCTTTGGGCTTTTCTTACTTCTCACAAAGAGGATTTTGTTGAACACAAAGACTGGAGGTTTTATTTCACATCTGACGGGAATTTTTGCACTCCATCAGTCCTTAGTCAGGACAAATCATGTTTTAAAAACCTGAGTCGACTTAAGTGAAAGTGCAGCCCAGCCCATGAAGATATGATGGGAACAAAGGCTACACGTTCACTGGCTTCCCACCTGCCTAACGAGGTTTAGTCTATGACAAACTTAAAAAGGCCAGGTGTGCCCTGTCCCTGGCCGGGCTTATTTTACTACATCAAACCCCAGAGTGGAGGATTGCAGGAAAGGGGCTAGACGGAGGTTTGTGTATTTTTTTTGAATAAAAAAAAAGGAGATCACACACCAAGCTAGACTCTTATGAAAGGCAGCCCTGCTCCTTCTTCAGCCAGCAAATCGGAAATGAAAAACTCCCTGAGAAACCTGGAGCTGGAGGAATGTGAGGAAGAAGCCAGCAGACAGAGCTCTTACTACAGAGGAAGCTGCACCATATAAGGGCGTCTGCTCCTTTCCTAATATGGATATTTTCTCTCTGTGTGCTGGCTCAGTACAGTAGGAACTCCTGTTAGATTGTCTGAGACAGGAAAAACAGCAGAGAGTGAAAGTTTGGGGTGTTTGTGTGGAGTTTTCTGTCTCTCCAAATAGACCAGAGAGAGAGAGAGAGAGAGAGAGAGAGAGAGAGAGAGAGGGTGTGTGTGTGTGTTGTCATTACAGCCTCAGGGCTCAATCTTCAACTCCATGATATCTAAAGGAAACAGCTTGAAAGAGGAACGTGCTCCGGCCACGCTGCAAAACAAAACTCGAACTTGGCTGAAAACTTTATGTTTCAACTGACCTTACGTAACATGCAATGTCTGCACAATTTCTTCAGGAATTATGTAAAATACTGCTTTCACTATTGCACGTTTGTTGATATACGTTATCTAAATGCCATTTGAAGTAATCTTAATGCCATTTGAAGATTACATACAGTAGCATCTTATTTAACCAAGAATACAGTGTACCTGAGTTTGATGAAGAAGTTTATGAAGTAGCAAGATTTTTAGAAAACGATGTGAATGAAACATTCAGGATAGTTTTAAGGTCAACAGAAAGCTGTCCATGGATAGTCTCCATATATACTGTTATTTTCCTGTTTGTTGTTATGCTGCTGGTTTTGTTGCAGAATGAATGTTCATTGAACTCATTCTGTACCTCTCATGGTTTCCTGTTATAAATATCAGTAGTCTGATGAGCCACGTGCTCAATGTTCTGCAGATCTGGAGGGTTGAAGTCCAAGGGATACATATTGCTCTGTGTGTGGTAGGCCCAGACATATTGATGCTAAGTATAGAATAAGCTATTTGTCCAAGAGAGTAGCTGTGGGTTCAGATCAGTAATAATGTGATTACCAGACTGTGGTGGTGATATAGTGTCAGGGGAGTCTGCTCAGCTTTGTACTTGTTGGCAGCAGTACTGTTAAACATACCTGCCTGCAAGCTGTCTTTCACACATTGGGAAAATTGTTCTTCGGGTAAAACTATGCATGAAAAGTCAAAGTATGCAGGCTTTCACGAAAACTACTAAATCACAATGAAATAGTTTTAAAAAATATATATATTTCCTCTAAGTTGTATAAGATTTTTGAGGAGCAACAGAAAGAAGATAACAAATTGAACACTGATTCATTGACAGCTTACCGTACTTACATGCCGGTTATCATTCTGATGTCACACTCAGGGTGGGAAGTTCAATCACTGTTATAATGTTGCACTGCTGTGTTTTAGGTGTTAGTCCTAAATATATATTTGATTATTCAACAACTGACAAGTTTTCTAGCTAGCATTACCAAGCAAACAATTTATTCCTTTCTTTTCGTATTGTGTTGTACTACAAAACATCAAAGTGGCATAAGGCTAACATTAGCCATTGTCTGACGTGTGTATGTAAACAAGTGTGTTGTTTTACTCAAAATAAGGCCGGATTACTCTTTGCTATCTAACTTTTCATCGTCTTTTCATCGTCTTTTCATCGTCTTTTCATCGTTGCTGATATGAGTTTGTTATTTATAGTTATTTGTCTGAATCACAACATTTATGTAGTACAACCTGGATCACAGCACTACAATGTTGTAACATCATTTGAGCTTCAAACACTGAGCATGATGTAAAATGTCCAAAATGGAACCATCATCAATTATCATGTCTTAGCGTGCGGCTTTGTTCATGTACCTTTTGATTTCAATGCTTTCCTTTTATAATCAACATTTCCCCTTGTGTTTGAAAACTACTTCCTGCCATTTTGTGATTTTCCTCTTGTGTGATTGTGTCCCGGTGCCCTCTATGTACTAAGTTCAAAGTGTTGAAACCATATGTGCTTGGCCTTAGTTTATTTCTTATCTTTTTCTTCCATAACTTTCCTTATTTTTGTCTTTAGATTTTCATCCCTCCCCATAGAGTTGTGTGCAGTTA